AGAGCCCCCACCGGGGTGTTTTCGGGGGGGGTTTGGAGACAGGGGGGGGGGGGGGGGGGGGGGGGGGGGAGTAGCGCAGCAGCACAATTAGTAGGTAGGAGTCACGATGAGATCGGGTGCCGTCGAGGCATGTCCTACACGCATGGGTGTGGTATCGGAGGCGACGGAACAAATTCTCAGCGATTTCCGTACTTTTCACGAGTACAGCAGCCAGCCGTACGTGGCAGCATGGTCGCATCGGGGAACTTCGGGCGACGAACGAAGCACGGAGTGTTTTTTCCACACTCGTGTGCTAAGAATGACCGCACGTGCAGAATTGCAACGTACCACGTGACCAACGGAAGACAAGACGCATGAGAAGAGATTGCGTGTTGCGTGTCTGTCCAACCGACTTAAGACATGGAGTGTACTTATCGCCTCTTGTTTTGCGGGAAAACATCGTGGATCTCTCTCGTACATACAAGCAGGTTAGCCAAGACCAGCAGCAGAATCAGCGAAATCAACAGCAAACCACTTGCAAATATCAAGCAGCAGCCCATGCGCCAGCCTACCTCTAGGCAACATGCAGACCAACCAAGCGACATACCTGAGCGGTCCGAGGGCACCGTCGGCAAGCTTAGGGGCCTTGCGCAGCTTCGTCAGCCACAGCGGGAACACGTACAGCAACCCGATCCCGAGCTGGGCGCTCGCCATCAACCAGGGCATCGGGAGGATGTTGAGAACCCTCTTGTTGTAGATGTTGTACCTGTTCCGTGCGAGAGAAGATCAGCATGAGTGCCCTCCCTCCTTCGTGTCTCCTTCATTATTCAGAGGTGTTTGTTGGATCAAGAGGCAGTCGCTATTACCATGTCCGCTATACGAGAGGTTCACATCTACGATGTTATCTTCTTGGAACACCCTTCCGATGACGAGCGCGCAGCTACGGAGAAGCCAACGAAATGCCGTGCACGGCGGAAAGACCCGCTCGCTGTCCCTTCATAGGAGCTGGCAACGCAAGCAGCACAGCCACGTTCTTCTTGCCGCTCTCGAGGAGAGAACTGCCAGAAAGGAAAGCCTTCTTCTGCTTCATGGGCAAGCAACAGTTGCGTCTTTGCGTAGAGTGGGCTGCCTGTTTTGTGCCCTCCTTGAGGGTCCGCCGTGAGTGCAACGGAAAGCGATCGATGCTTACATAGCATGGGAGGTGGCCTCATGTAGGCCCAACCAAAGGCGACGCTCTCCTAACATAAAACAACTGCATGGAGACATTTCCTTGGAGAATTATCGCGAGAACACATACACTTTGTAGTGTTGTGTGATGTTCTTTCCGCAGGTCCTCTGAAATCGACTAGCGTCGGCCGAGCTGAAAGGAGCTCATGGACCAGGAAAAGCTCGTGTGGAGTAGGGCGTAGATTAGCTTATCCGATGGACTATAATAGGAAGAAATTTGCCGACTGAACTCGTAGGGTCAGGGTGCTCTTGCAAGCGAGCTTTCTCTTGAAGCTTCCCAATATGCAGAAACACAACAACACTTCATGGCTTTTACAGTGTATGTTTAGATAGAGGTCACGTTGTTAGGCAAGGTGCACCGGAATGCCCCAGTAGAGAAGAAACCGCGGTGAAACTTGGTGTTTACTTCATATCCGACCTCCATCAATTGTCGTGTGCACGAGGATCTTCGCGGCCTCACTTTCATTTTCCGCTGAAAGTTTTCAGTGAATGCCACTAGCTGGTCGGAACGCATAAAAACGATAAAACCCATGTAAGAAGACGTTGGCCACGACACACTCACTCACAGCCGACGAGGCACAAAATCACCGTTTTTTTGTCGTGTTTCTACCTCCTGCGGGCGTTGAGCATCAATCACGCACGTTTGGATGTCGGTATCGTGGATACTGCTGATGGTTGGTGGTGTGGTCTAGTGGTCAGTCTACACGACTCCCGAGCGGCAGCATGTGGGGTCGATCGATTCTCTCTCCGTTTTTTTTTTTCCCGGGATATATTTCCAGCAACCTGTGGTTGAAAGCGATCTAGTTTGTGAGTAGGCAAGCTTCGGCTTCACGGTCGACGATGGAAAGGGATGGCTGAACCCTTCTCGCGATAAAAACCAAGGCAAGCACCGCAGGGGGAAAGGTGGGGCCATAAAACAAAATTAAAAGATTAAAAAAGCTCCTGTGTGACCCTCCTCTTGTGTGACCCCAGCTGATACATCAAGTGTATTACACCGAAAGGCCTGTAAACCGGGACCAGAATATATGGGACGAACAAACACTCACACATACACACTCAACACTCCATTCCGCGGTATTTTTAGAGACGCGATCTTTGCCCCTATCAATAGCGCCATCGGTGTAATACTGCTGTAAGGCTCATGGTACAGACCGGTTATCACCGCTAAATAGTAAGAACGCGCCGGAGCGTGGGGGCGTATGCCCTCCTCAATGGCGGTGACAACCGTGGTGGCGGAGGAGGGAACACGGGGGATAGGGGAAGACGAGAGGACGGCCGCGTGACAGCAGCAGCGGCAGCAGCAGCAGCAGCAGCAGGTATACCCGCCGCCGCACCCGCCCGACAACCATGCCACTTAATTCTGTACCCTCCACAACGCCTCGTCTCACAGCAACGAGGAATGTCGTTTGCAGCGAGGTTGGGGGGTACCATCGGGCGGCAGAGGTGTGAGCTACGGCCGAAGGCACGGGGCCCAGCGTGGGGGCCGGGGCTTTGCTGGAGGAGGACCTGGACGTAGCAGCAGCAGCAGCAGGCGGGAGGAAGACTCGGGGGGCGTGGCGTCGCTTCCGGTGGGTGAGGCGAAGGCCCTCCGCACCCGGGAGCGCCTGGCAGCAACCTTCCTGCCTACCCCGTCACCCTGCGTGGGTCAGCGGCATGTATCGGCAGCTCCTTTCCCCGGGGGCGGTACGGGTGAGGAGGGTATGCGCTGTCATCGTACCCCTGTTGAGTGACGGGGTAGGCAGGAAGGTTGCCCCCAGGCGCTCCCGGGTGCGGAGGGCCTTTGCCCCACCCACCGGCAGCGCCTGGCGAGGGGTCCGTCCCCGGAGATCCCTACAGTACTACCGCTGATAAGCTGGGAGTCTACGAGCCAGGAGTTTATCATTTATTAGATTAAGGCTTATCTGTTAGACTATCAGTCAGCGCTGACTGAGTAGTCAAATGGATAAGCCTTTATCAGCGATATCACCCTGTTCCCCTGTTCACGGCGATCGATACGGTGCCTGTTGTGTGAAGATTGGATTATTGTCGCGCTCGGCATTTTTGAAACAACAGTTGGAGCGCAAACGGGCAGATCAACCGGCAGATCAACCAGCAAATGTTGATCTAAACTTTAAAGGCAACAAAGAGCCTCCGAAGTAGATATGTTGCGGGCCAGGATCTGACCGATACGATCGGCTACGCTTTGTCACACATCGCGAGTGGTGGTCGGTTTTATCACACTCCTCCACGTGGCATCAACCTAAGAACCGAGATGCCTCTGCATTTGTTGACGAACAAACTTCTAAATAGTCTATACATGCATGTACGAATCATACCGTACTTCGCGGTCCTGTCTGTAGTCTGTTGTCTAGTGTTGGATTCTGCTTGTGGTATACGTGTTGTGTTTGGTGTTCAGAATTGTATGAATCGCGCACCAGCGGTGTTGCTCTTCTGCCATGCGCTAGACTACATATAGCCTTACTGTAGAAGAGGAGTTGTTTTGTACCATATAATCGTCAACAATTCACTCTGAAAGGGTTGAAGGCAAGGTGAAGGCAAGGTGGTAATAATGAATCTGATCTTCGACTCTGGTGCGAGTTTACAGCAACTTTGGAGGCTTGGAGGTAGAATACGCTCATGAGATGTATGACGTCATTGAATCATGTGCATTCTTCGACAACCCGAAAAAACGAGAAAAACTCTCGAAAAGACTCATCATGATGGTTCAGGAGCAGAGAGATGGGTGTGGTAGAGCAGCCAATACGACTGCCATGGCTGATTCGATCCGACCGAAAGAGAGCGTTCTAAACACCGATGCATCCAGGCTGTCTCGTCAATAACTCCGACGACGAATTTGAAAATCAATTGGTTGGTCGTACCCGATGTTGAAGAGGTACCACAGACCAAAGTACGCGGTGACCTTCACCATAGACGGAGAAGCCTTGGCCTCCTTCTCCACGGCTGAGGCAGGCGATGGCGCGGCGTCCTTGTCACCACTAGCCGCCGGAGTCGAGAACAGCTCAGTGCGGGCGGCACGGCCACCAGCGGGTGTCGTAGGCAGCTCTTGCTGCATACGTACCCTGTTGTCCGCCAGCGCCGACGCGCGGCTCATGATACCCGCGGAGCTCGGCCTGGCGCATGCCGAGGGAGAAGCGATCCTAGGGCATGTCGGCACAAAGGCTCCTACGCTCGCGAAGGAGCATAGCGTGCCGATTATCAGCAATGCCTTCGCCATCATGGTGGTGGCTGTGCTAGAAAGCACGAGCGAAAAACACAACAGCAACCGAGCAAGCAGCTGCCGCGCGTTTATCATGCACCTGGCTGGAGGCGTTCGCAAAACTGTTCGGTTGCGCAGAGGAAGTCTGCACACCGCCAGGCAACGGCCAAAACAGGCGGATCATCATCATTGTTGGGTTGGATATGAAATATGAAACGCACGAGAGGCGACTTTACGACATGACCACAGCAACTGTTGGTTCCGGCAACACGCAGCAGTCCCTTACACGCGGTTTGCATCTTATGTGAGGTCAGCATGGTGTCTGGATGTTAGCAGTATAGGTACAGCAGCAGTAGGCTGTGTGCTGGTGCCCTGGATCCTGGGGGTGCGTATCCGATATGGAGACCACCACAGTAGAAGGAGCGCAAATCATTCGACCCCCAACAGCCAACAGCCAAGCAGCAGTGTACACTGCTGCTGGGTGTTGCGAAGATGCACGTGGCTTCACCTGCATCTCCGCAACAGCAGATAAGGAAGGTTCTGTCGTATCTGTTATGCGAAGACCTCGAACCTGTGTAATAACCTGCTGCTGCTACATACAGCCCTCCCAAACAGAGGGATCTGTTGACGGGACGCTACTGCACACGGGTGCCATCAATCCAACAGACATGCGTGTCGCTTTCTGTAGATCTTTGCCAACCGAGTTGCTACGCGCGGCGCGGTGCTGCTATTGTAGTGATGAATGCCGCGCTCGGTCCACGCGAAACGTGGTGCCTACTGGCCGCGATCCCGACTAAATAAAGCGGATGTATGATGTCTGTCTGCCGAGTTTTGGCGGGAGTGCCTCGCGGTTTCGGTGAGGTATTGTACATCCGGGGAGAAAAAATCCTGGAAACCCATTTGTTTTTAGAAAGTAAACATAACCTCACAGACTACAACCCGTTCGAGATATAATCATTTATTTTCCGCAGTCCAACAACTGACGTCGCTACCGGGACGAAAGCAAAAAAAAAAGGCACGATCCATTGTTCGATCTTGAGTAGTTGAAAACATCTGCTGAATATCCCGACGAGGGGTGGGTGTGGAAGAGCTAACACACACAAACGATTAGTGATGTCATAGGACCCAAAAAATTTCAGCGTGTGTATGCCCGCCCCCCTCCCTCCCTGCGCGATTTGCTAGGGCCACGGGCTCAACAACGAGAGGTAGCCCTTGCTACATGGTTATACTATTGTATTGTCGCTCGAACCGGACTGACTGCACTTTCTCCCAAAAGTAAACGTCGGTTCGAGTTGGGGGACGATCGTTTTTGTCGTCCTCGTGGACAAGAAATAAATGCGGACGTCAATGTTATATCGTGTGGGGGGGTGCTCATCATGTGAACGCACCATGCCACCGCAGTCGGTAGATCATTCGCCTCGCATCCCAACAATCAATGCCGGGACGGAGCGATATGCCACGGGGGGTGGGGGGGGGGGTGGGGCATTGTACAAGAAGAGTCTTCAAAAACGAATCCTGGCACAAAAAATACTTCGATGTACGTATTATTATGTGCATGGGGTGTTTAAAATGAATCCTTGGATCGCGCGTGTCATGTGGACGAGGGGGAGTGGATTTTCCGTAGGCCAGAGCCACGTTGCAAACCGGGACAAAGCACGTTGGATTTTTCGCACCGTTTCGCCGTTCGTTGCGCAACCAAGCACGCGTACATATGCACCGTTGTGATGTGTGCAGTTGTGGTTGCACGAAGGTTCATAATATATGGTACTTTATCAATCAACCGGAAGCGCGACCACGAACAGTTTGTCGGGCGTTTCAACACAGTAAAGGCGTACATAGCTCTACAGTATGATAATCGACTGCCTTGGTTACTCTCGGGGTGGAGTGTCTTGCACCCCAAAAATAAGCGGTGGGTACAATCGCATCCTCCTGCACGCTCTATAGGTAACACAGTAGTAGCTAACGTCGACTCAACACAATGCGATTCGTTGGCAGTCTGGTCCCCGTTAAACGCATTCGATGTTGCTTGCTGCTTGCTGGCCTCAAGCACGACTAGAATGTTGTTCAACTGGTGAGGATGGGACCGTACCACCCCCCACCAGGGCCTCGGCTTTCTCCACAGTCAAGGATGGATCGACCGTTCTGAGTGCCTCCGCTGGGCTCGTGGCTGGAGGTCGAGCTTTTGCCACAAAATCACGGACATCCGTCACCGACTCGTAGTTGTAGACATAACCCTGGCGTCCAGCTATCTCTGCTCGGTGTCGTATCTGTTCCAACGTGTAGGTAGCAGAAGAAGTATTGCAAGTTCGAAGCACGGGGATGCGATGGGTCAAGCATATCTACAAAGTGCAAAGAGGTTGTATATTGATGCATAGGGAGAGACAGACACGAGGTCGGTTGTCATATTGTAGTGCGACCGTGTCTTCCCACACACTTTGGGCCCCCTCTCCATTTCGTCCTCATAAAAGGAGTTCAAGCGTCAAAACGTGCAGCCCAAGTGATACAGTATAGTCTAGTAAGGCTTCTAAGTATCCAGTCACGTTGGACGCTCCGAAAAAAATATCTCCGACGAGGCGACACGAAACCTTACACGCTCGTTCGTGTATATGACACTACGGTCACGTCAATTGCTATCAGCGTACACAGAGAGTTGGAATTTAAGAGCGTGGTGCCCATATCGCATTCAACGTGCCAGAACGTGATCAGAGCTCACATTGTTAAGATTCTCTCGCATTTCAGCTAGCTGCTTCCGAAACGAGTCCTGAGTGGCAGTCATGATGTCGGCTAGAGCAATATCGACGTCGTTTGATCGTTCATATTGTTCCTGCGGGTGACGCCTGACTCGATCACGAAAACTCGGTCCTGCACCTTCAGCGCCATCTGCGGTATATCTTTCCTCCTCGCAACGTTTGTTCTCGCCTTTACCACAGTAATGTTTCCCCAGCGCAAGTTGAAGTCGGAAAGCGCAAAAAAAGAAAGAAACGATTGATTCCACAAGCATGATACGGCATCAGTACATGCACTGCTAGCATGGAAAGGTGACATGACGTATTTCGTATGGAAGATGGAGGCCAGCGCTACATCATACTGTACGAAAAATAAGCCTTGCAGGATGCTCGGTGTCATCCTTCGATACCCGCACTTGCTTCTGTTGGCAGGGTCAGTACCGTGGCAAGCGACCTACTGTTAGCTATGGTAGCTGACCCGTGTTTCGTCGTGCGGGTGACCCGCGGACCCCTTAATCTCGGCCCGCACGCTATGGATACGCCATCGATGGGAAATGGTCGGCTTAGCTAAGTTTTCCGTTGAATCGACAACCACTTCACATCGATACGTTTTGCTTGACCGAACGCTACGTGCCACCGTCTACCCTGCAAGTATCTGTACCGAAACAGGCCTGAGATATTATCCATTTTCTACAGAGTAGAGAGAATTTCAGTTTTCCTCGCTCACCTGAAGATGGACACGCACGCGGATTGGACGCATTTTCTCCAAGCGCATGTTGCCACATGCGGCAACTTTCTGCCTCAGATTTCGCCATCATTTCTAAGAACGTCTGCTGGGAAAATACAAATGCAGGCAGCATTGCATTGGTACCATCAGAAAGAAACAAGACAACGCAGAGTCTTTCGCCTTAGTATGTTGGTGCGTACATCTGATCACAGAAGTCCATCGCGCTCCTGAATAAAGTGCACCATTGGCACGATAAGCTGATGACAAGCGCAACGGCGAGGCGGGTCATGAACAACTGGCACATGGTCACCTCAAGGTAAGCAGGGCCGCCTCGAACTGAAGGGGCACACGACACCCTCACAGGGCCGCGGCCGTACCCCTCCTCTGGCTCGACCTCAGAGTCGGATGGTTGGGCAGCCCTGCTATCCCCACCGTCGTCTTCAGCGTTGGCAGCGCCTGCGCCACTCCCGGTACAATCGTTCCTCCCTCCCACGCTATCATGAAATCCAGAACCGCCGGATGACCGTGGGCGCCGTCGCGAGTTCGGGGATGAACGCCGCACCGGCGCTCCACCGCCTACGTCGGGATCTCGGCGGATTCGAGAGCCGACAGGCATTTCGCACGCAAATCGCCCCCACTTCGCGTACGGTTCCCCCGGTTGGTATCCCACGCCGGGTGTGCGCGGGCCCTGTGCCCCGAAGCCATTCCCCACTGCAGAATGCGTTCCCGACATACCCGCGACAGCAATATTTGCTTGTGTGGCTGCAGAGTTCCCCACTATCTGCGTGCACGTACGGAAAGGAAGACACAAAATATTGTCGCTGCTGTAGTCGGAGGGCGGACGGGGTGTTTTTATTGGGGTGATGCTAGAATGGAGATATTATAGCACACCCAAATGGTCGCCGTGTGCAGCGGAGCGCGACGAGCCCTGCTTCTTCAAATACAAGAGTGTACTACACATGGAGAGATGGTAGCGAACACGTTTTGGATTACGTGTGTGAGGCCACGCGGCAGACACAGCCCAATGGCACCCAATATCACACACATATAAATTCCGCCTCAATGTCACCTATAGCACGAAACTTTAGATACTCCCAGGTGCACCAAGAGAGCAACTATGAAGGCTCCTTTCTCTTCTCGTAAAGGATTGCTATGAGATAACCGCGACACTTTCAAACCTGAGTGCCGCAGCTGCGGAGATCCAGCCCCCTCTCCGGGTCGTGCGCGTACTCGACGGATGCCAAGGCCTCCGTCCGAACAAGAACCTTTACTTCCATGCCGGGCGGTTGTATCGCATCGTGCATTTCAGTGGAGCGGTCTATCAGTATTCCTCTCTTTGACACGCTGCCAATGCTTGTCCCCCCCTGACCCGTCTCCCGTGCCGCAGCACGATCTTCTCGGCACCGGGTAGCGTTCGAGACGCATGGAGGCCTTCCATCGTCTTTCGTAGCTGAGGCCCCCAAATATATTGTGTCGCCGACTTTCGCCAATCGTTCACTGCCTAATCTCTCTCCCCATGCCTCCGTCGCGCCAGATGGTGCTCGTTCTTCGACCCTCGTGCTTCTTTCGGACACCACACCGTCGTCCTTCCCATCGGTGTCAGGGCTCGTGCCTGACTCAACCATGGCCGGCAATGTTATAGGTTTATCTGTATTTGCGGCTGGGACGCTCCAAGCCTCACGAGGTGGTTGAGGGACCCCGTTCAACGGGTCGCCGACAGTCTCGCTGGCAGCCAGATACCGTCGACATTCTACTGTCGCCCCCGCTACCTGACATTGGTTTTCGTCATTCGGCGAGGTACCTAAAATCGGCTGCTGTGGAGAGGTTCGGGGATCTTCTTTTGAGGTAGACGCGTTGAGAACCTGCTGGCCATAGGAGTTTCCGCCGTTGCTATCCATCAGTAAGTCTAGGTCTTCGAAGTCGTCGTCGCCGTAGTCGTCGTCTTCTTCTTCATCATCCTCCGCTGTGTAACTCCCACCGTTCCCCGCACTTCGCTTCCTGTCAACGCCGTCGTTTGAAGTGTTGTCTCCTATGTCGTCAAGATCTGGCAAGATTTGTTGGGCAGAAACTTTAGCAAGATCGTCGAACGACATGATACTGCCCAGAGCGCCGCGACCTGGATGACTTCGTGCGAACCCGCTGCCACTCTCCACCATACCATTACCTCCCTTTTTTTTGCCAGATCCGCTCTGTTGCTCAAACGTTGGACTTCTTGGATCAGGACTCGAAAACTCTTCCTCCTCTTCCCCAGTCTGATCTTCTAGTTCCTCAGCCACCGCCGAACGTATGGACTCCACTTCGCTGTCAGACCCCTCGCGTACCAGGCTGGAAAGCGGCGAAGAATCTCCTGGGATAGTGACAGCCAAACGCAGGCTGGATGTTCGACCTTCAGAGGGCGAGTATGCGTCGGCTTGAAGTCGCGCATCTGCCGCACTTCTACTTGCAGAACTTTGTCTTTGCAGACCAACGGGAGAAATCGCGGCCTTCGGCCGGCCAAGGTTTCCCACATCATTAGCTTCAAGTTCCTTCGTTGTGCTCAAGCCGGCCAATGAGCGTACCTTGACCATGTTCTCCTGAGGCTCTATCGAAGGCTTGTCTCGGGTGGGCTTGAGCCTTGAAGGAGTTTTCCGCCTGGATACACCGCCTGCGCCGTCGGAGTCACTGCTCAGTGACAAATCCATTTCGTCTTGGTCGAAGGTGGTGCTCTGAGCATTCGCCGATTTCCTGAAAGTACCCATGCCCGTAGCGGCTGTCGTTGTTTTGGCGCCATTAGCACCCCCTTGTTTGTATTTGCTTAGAAAACTCATGGCCTTGTCCAGAGCAGAAGTCGGGCCGGCTGGAGCCGAAGCTCGGAGAGGGGCTTTCAGGTCGACGACCGATGGTGTGGGATTGGCAACAGGCCTCGATACTTCCTGTACATTGACAACGGAAAGGGCGCCCCGAAATGCGACCGTGCGCGAAAACGAATTGGCTGCACTGTTGTTGACAATGTCGACTGCTGTTTCAAGATGATACATCCACTAGTATCTTCTATCAAAAGAGGCGAGTCGTGAAGCCAGAGCGTACGTATTACGTACCTATCTGCCAAGCGATTTTTAGTCACTGAGCCAACTGAGCTTTTGTATGTAGCCTACTGCTGTATGAGCTCGTAGACGTGCTATGACGATACCTCAGTTTGACAGGCTTACACCGAAGGCACAACTTATTATATGCTATGAATTGTTGTGTCATGCAATGTGTCCCGCCTACACCACTAGTCTAGTCTAGGTTTCAGCTACAGCTGTGTGCACTCGACCCACCTGCGGTGTGAGGGAAGAAACACTGGGGCTAGCGCCTACTGTCTTGTTCAACGACAGTTTCCCGAGCTTGGATTTTTTTGTCTTCTTCTTTGATCCGCCACCGCTGAATCCATCCGCGATGTCGAAGTTATAAGGGTCATCATCTCCACCTCCTCCACTACGAGCGAACATGTTTGGTCAGGTGGTTCCGTGGCAAGCGGGTTATGTGTTATGTGCGCTGCGGACAGCAGCGGACAGCTCTCGGCTTTTTTCTTGGATCTTTCAAATCCACGGGACTGTCAGGTTTCGGTTTCACGGTGCAGCTGGCTTCTGGCTGCTGATGGCTGCTGGCTCAGTTGGCTACATGGTGCTATTGTGCCATGTCAGGAGCCTAGCGTATAGTTATAAGCTCGTTTACGTCAGGGTACAACCGTTAGGCGTAGGTGGTGGATGCACCAGCCGTTGTTGTTACATAGGCCGCACAGGACACAGTTTTGTTGTACCTTTTTCCATCTTCGGTGAATCTTTTACCGATTGAAGGATATACGCCGCGGGCACGAGATAGGAGAACAATAACTACTGTCCGCGTGTTCTCCGTGAATAAACAGCTGTAGGTTGGACCACGTTTTGGTCAAGATGAAGATGGAATCTGCGTACATCTGATTTTCATGTCCAATACACCCGGATAATTCTAAATAGATATTGCATGACAGGCACGCACACGGAGGGAAACAGGAAGGTTTGTTCGTCGAAGCAGATAGAATAAACTGGTGTTTATTTTGTAACAGTCGAATTAGAATTTGGCTTCATTTTCTACCGGAAACCCAGGGTCACGGTGTTTGGAATTATTAGTCTATAGTTGGGGGTGTCATTCCGTGATCGAGTCCACGCAGGGGCTGTAGCAAAGTCGGGTAACGTGTGACAGCTACAGAGCGCGTGAAGCAACGGAAGGACAGCAGCAGCCGCCTAACGCAGTAGCGGCGGCAGTTTAGAAAAGGGCGGGACGGGACACGGCGCAAGCATTGGGGAAGTGACCAGCACGCGACTCTCCATATAAAGGTGTGTACTCGTGTCCAACATCCATCGTGTCGGCCGTGTTCCTATTCGCGTCCCGCTACTCTTGTGACCTCACCGCTGCGTGCATTTAGCACGAGGGGGGAGGGTGCAGTAAGATAAGCGGCGGCAAGCCAACGCAGTCTCGCTCGCCGCGCCGCTCAGATAGGTCCCTTCCCAAACATGGGATGCGGTTCATCCCAACCGAGACGTACTCTCGCTGAAGAAAAAAAATGCGGTTCGTCCCAACCAGACGTACTCTCTCTGAAGAAAAAATTCAACGGCAAAAAGAAAGAGCGGGGCCTGTTGTATGGTCGCACGCTGACTTGTCGCGGTTGATAGCAGCCATTGTACTGCACGGGGTGGAGGAACCCTGCGGCATCGGACATAACCAATCGACCCGCGGCAGTAGGGCATGATGCTGTCACGATTATGCACATGAGGCAGGTGCCTTGTTTTCTGTTTCCCCCGGCTTACTAGGGACTACTTGCCGGTACAATCTTGTCTGTGCCGCGCACAGAGGGGCATATAGCTGAAGGAATCGACGATAATATGCCCACTCACGTAAGCAATCGTCTCCACGGATGGTATTGACAAGTCCCCACTGATGGTATCGACAAGTCCCATGGCATACAAAGCGGCCGCATACGTAATCGGAAAGTGCATTCAACAGCATTCACGGGAACGGATAAAAGCAAAAACACATGCATGCGAGAGAAAGACTCAAAGAAAAAGACTGAAAAACAATGAAGACGAGAAAAAAAAAACGAGACAGCGAACTACGTGCTGTATGCATAAGGAAAAAGAAGATGAGAAAAAAATAGGGGGGGGAGGTGGATATGACACGCGAGGTTCGAACTCGCGAGGAACGTCAGGTAGCGGTCCATGTGAGTGCATCACGGTCTCGAGGGGCATCACGTCAAATTTATTGCCGCCGTGACACAAACCTTCTATAAGAATACGTCACGTCCATCGACGATTAAGCGACCAAAAACGCCCGGACAGCAATTGATGCATGCCAAAAACTCGTCAACCTGCCGTAGGATTGTCTATGCGGAAGTGATCTCAATGAAAATAAAAAAAACAAGGACACGCACCAGCACGGGACGCGCCAATAGTGGAAGCACTCGTCCGTGCTGTTGGCGAGTGGAAGTTAACCGATCTCAACGCAACGAAACACGAAGTCATACATGTATCAGCACGGGATGCGCCAATGAGTGGAAGCACCCGCGCTGTTGGCGAGTAGAGTTAACCGAATTCAACGCAGCGGTAGAAAAATACCACAAATCATGCATCAGTACGGGACGCGCCAATGAGTGGAAGCACCCGTGCTGCATATGTGATGTCAGCCTCAGCACGGGACGCGCCAATGAGTGGAAGCACTCGTCGCGGTTGGTGAGTAGAGTTAACCGATCTCAAAAAGAAAGAACAAAACGCCGTACATGTATCAGCACGGGACGCGCCAATGAGTGGAAGCACCCGTGCTGTTGGCGAGTAGAGTTAACCGAATTCAACGCAGCGGTAGAAAAATACCACAAATCATGCATCAGTACGGGACGCGCCAATGAGTGGAAGCACCCGTGCTGCATATGTGATGTCAGCCTCAGCACGGGACGCGCCAATGAGTGGAAGCACTCGTGCTGTTGGCGAGTAGAGTTAACCGATCTCAAAAAGAAAGAACAAAACGCCGTACATGTATCAGCACGGGACGCGCCAATGAGTGGAAGCACCCGCGCTGTTGGCGAGTAGAGTTAACCGAATTCAACGCAGCGGTAGGAAATACCACAAATCATGCATCAGTACGGGACGCGCCAATGAGTGGAAGCACCCGTGCTGCATATGTGTTGTCAGCCTCAGCACGGGACGCGCCAACGAGTGGAAGCACTCGTGCTGTTGGCGAGTAGAGTTAACCGATCTCAAAAAGAAAGAACAAAACGCCGTACACGTATCAGCACGGGACGCACCAATGAGTGGAAGCACCCGCGCTGTTGGCGAGTAGAGTTAACCGAATTCAACGCAGCGGTAGGAAATACCACAAATCATGCATCAGTACGGGACGCGCCAATGAGTGGAAGCACCCGTGCTGTATATGTGTTGTCAGCCTCAGCACGGGACGCGCCAACGAGTGGAAGCACTCGTGCTGTTGGCGAGTAGAGTTAACCGATCTCAAAAAGAAAGAACAAAACGCCGTACACGTATTAGCACGGGACGCGCCAATGAGTGGACGCACCCGTGCTGTTGGCGAGTAGAGTTAACCGAATTCAACGCATCGAAAACGAAGTCGTACACGTATCAGTACGGGACGCGCCAATGAGTGGAAGCACCCGTGCTGCATATGTGTTGTCAGTTTCAGCAAGGGACGCGCCAATGAGTGCTGTTGGCGAGTAGAGTTAACCGATCTCAAAAAGAAAGAACAAAAACGCCGTACACGTATCAGTACGGGACGCGCCAATGAGTGGGCGCACCCGTGCTGTTGGGCGAGTAGAGTTAACCGATCTCCACGCATCGAAAACGAAGTCATACACGTATCAGTACGGGACGCGCCAATGAGTGGAAGCACCCGTGCTCATATGTGTTGTCAGTTTCAGCAAGGGACGCGCCAATGAGTGGAAGCACCCGCGCTGCGTACAAGTATCATCAGTGCGGGTCGCGCCAATGAGTGGAAGCACCCGTGCTGCATATGTGTTGTCAGTTTCAGCGAGGGACGCGCCAATGAGTGGAAGCACCCGCGCTGTTGGCAAGTGGAGTTCACCGTATCCAACGCATCGAAAAAAAAAAAACACGTATCAGCACGGGACGCGCCAATGAGTGGAAGCACCCGTGCCGATTGGCGAAACCGGGGTTCACCGAATCCAAGAAAAATATATATATAAAAAAAAAAAAAAGAGAAACCATCGCTAGTGTTCCAAAGAGAGAAATATTCGGGATTGGTCGACGTCCGGTGACCGTAGCGTCAGCAGCAATAATCACTCCATTCAATCCACAGGCGTCGAGAATGAACTAACGCGAGCTCGCGATATAACAACGCGTCGTTCTGGGCCCGACGAAAACCCACGTCAGATAGTTTCGCCCGAAGATAGGATTTGTAGACCATTCTAACTGCAGATCCAGGCGCGCGATCGACTACGCCCACGATGAAGAGGAAAAGAAGTGTTCCCGCAACGCCGCCCTGACGCTCGCCCGCCGCCTGCCGCCGGTCCGCTGCTTATACGACTCCAACCGCGACCAGATGCCGACACGGGCCTCCACGCGGAGCGGCAGGGCAGCGGCTGGGCAAGCAGGGCGAGGTCGGGCGGCGACACCTTCGACACCACGCACGAGAGGTCTACCGCGCGATCGGTGGCGAGCTCGACGGCTCGCCCCTCGACGCGCAGCGGATCACGTACTCCCGCGAGGCGTCGAGCGGTATCCTCCTCGCGAGCGCCAGGGACAGGCACCCGCGGCGACCCCCCCGCTGATGAGACTGAGCTCGCTTCTCTCCGCGGGCTGGTGGACGGCCTGAGGGAGGAGCTGCAGCGGAAGCGCGATGAGGCTGCCGGTGATCGCCAGCAGCTTCAAGCAACGATCGACGACCTGATCGCCACCCAAGCAGCAGGACCTGGCCTTCCGGGGGGGGGTGCAACTTGTGGGCACAACCGCCCCACCATCGGCCTCTCGGGCCCCCGCTACACCCAGCGCCGAGGCGGCTAAGGCTACGGCAAAGGATAGAGCGCGGATGTGGGGGGACCTCCGCCGGGTAAAAGCGTGGCTCATCCTGGGGCGGCCCCCGGCAGTTTCAAAACTGTCGCAGATGGAGTGGCAATCCTTGCTTCGCAAAGGCGTCCTGGTGACAGAGAAAGTGGCGGCATCGCTCGACACGCTCGTGGTTACTGCTTCGCCTTCAACTCGTCGTCCGGTTGCCATGATCGTAACTGCCCACACATCCACGCCCAGAACCCTTCCCACGCTAGGCGCGGAGCGTCCGAAACTCCGGCAACCGGCGCGCGCGGCGTTGGCCACGGCAACGGGGGAGGGCGCGGAGGAGAGGCGCGCGCCGCTGGCGAGGGCGGCGCGAGACCCAAGGCCGCTGGCTTCTTCACCCACGGGAAAGACAAATAGGGGTGCGGGCTCTCCCGCGTAGCGGGGGGGCCTACCTCGGATGGCAGCGCACCTGCGGCTAAATCGAACGGCAGCACGCCGGTCTACACGAGGTTGGCTCCAGGGCTATCAGCAGGTTCAGGACCTGGGACAGGCAGGACGGGACTTTGTTACCGACGTCTTGGCATGCAGCTCGTCGAGCACTCAGTTGCGTCTTCGTCTAGAAGGACTTACACGTCAGGCTTCAACTCTTGGTGCACGTTTCGCAGGCTGACGGAGAAGCCCAAGTTCGTAGGGCAACGTGCCGGGGACCTTCATGTGTGGGAGTTGATAGACTTCGTAGCCTGGTGTTTCGAGTCTGAGGGTAATCTAGCGAGTACAATATCCGGAAAACTCACGGCTGTACAACATTTTCATAGGCTGGAAGCTTCTGTCGAGCTAGACTTGTCGTCTCCGATGTTGAAATGTGCGCTAAGGGGGATTGCGAGGAACCACGTGGCTGTGGGGACGGTACGCCGTGTGCGCCTGCCTGTGTCTTGGCGTATGCTGCTGGACGGGGAAAGCGCAAGCCAGAACTGGGGGGAAGGGGGCAGAGTGATGTGGCTGTGTCTGTGCTTGTCCTATCTCTTTATCACACGGTCTGATGAGGTGTTCGCGAATGATGCGGGCAGGGTGCATGAGGCACACTGTCTTACGAGGGCGGACGTAGCATTGTTTGCTGGCGAGACGCAATTAGTCTTTAGTCACTATCGTAGAGCAGACCGTGTCGAAATGAGGTTTAGAGGGCACAAGGCCGATCAAGAGCAGAAAGGAAACATACGGGTTCGTACGCGAGACGAAGTCACCGGACCGCAGTCAGGTGTGAGAGCACGCGGTGGCGCGGTGGCTCTTGTGGTGGAGCTGTTATCGTGTCATGCGACGTTCCCTGACTCCGCACCGTTGGCTTCGTACCGTAGTGGAAGAGCAGTGAGAGTAGTGAGGTATACTGCTGCCCTCCGTGCACTCAGAGAAGTGGTAGCGAGGTCGGGGCGTAACCCCCAGGAGTACGCGTTGCACTCGTTGCGAATTGGAGGCGCGACGGCTCTTGCATCGGGCGGAGACATCGCAGAACGAGTGATTCAGAGAGAAGGGAAGTGGAGGTCGGATGCATACAAGCCGTACGCGCGAAACAATGTAGAGGATTCGCGGCGAGTGTCACGGAAACTTACAGACGGCAGTAGGATCGTATCGAGACAGCCGGGGGAGGGGACCGTCTGGGGGAACGGATAGTTGACTTATTCGGTAGTCGTCCAGAAACTGACCTCGATGTGGGTGTTGTAGAATGGTGTGTACCATTTGAGGACTTGGTCAGTTTTGGGACTCCTGCGTTTGCAGTCGTAGTCCCCCGGCTAGTATTTGTGGGGAGAGAGATGGATTTGTAAGAGTTGACGCCGGCCTTTGCAGCTAACGCGGCCGGAGAGACGATGAGCGTTTCGTGCGTCTCTCTCCCCAACACGTAGCCTAGAAACCGAAGAAATAATGAAGCAATTCGAAAGAAAACAAAATAAAAGGAAGGTTTGTTCGTCGAAGCAGATAGAATAAACTGGTGTTTATTTTGTAACAGTCGAATTAGAATTTGGCTTCATTTTCTACCGGAAACCCAGGGTCACGGTGTTTGGAATTATTAGTCTATAGTTGGGGGTGTCATTCCGTGATCGAGTCCACGCAGGGGCTGTAGCAAAGTCGGGTAACGTGTGACAGCTACAGAGCGCGTGAAGCAACGGAAGGACAGCAGCAGCCGCCTAACGCAGTAGCGGCGGCAGTTTAGAAAATCCCGCCCTCCCATCCCTTTTCTTTCGAAGGTGGGGGCATAAGTTCGGGAATATTCGGTATCTAGTCAGGTGTTGTAGAATGGTGTGTACCATTTGAGGACTTGGTCAGTTTTGGGACTCCTGCGTTTGCAGTCGTAGTCCCCCGGCTAGTATTTGTGGGGAGAGAGATGGATTTGTAAGAGTTGACGCCGGCCTTTGCAGCTAACGCGGCCGGAGAGACGATGAGCGTTTCGTGCGTCTCTCTCCCCAACACGTAGCCTAGAAACCGAAGAAATAATGAAGCAATTCGAAAGAAAACAAAATAAATACTGCTGTGATGGTTTTTTTCCCTGTTTGTCCATAGTCCTTGGTCGAGTTTCAAAGCCGTAAGTTTCTTTCGCGAAACGATGGTGGCAATGCTCTCACATCAACGAGGATAGAACCCGCTGTGCCATGCTGTTACATTATCGTGTCGGTCACTGACTACTGCTTTGTCGATAGTATACTGTCTGTGTTTTGTATGTTTTCGTCCCCCGTCTATTCTGAAGCCAGTCTACAGTAAGTACACCTACCTCGGTTTATCTTGCCGCATAGGCCGGGGTCAAGCAAGGAGGTAAACACGGACTTTTTTTTGGTACAGAGGTTTCGCCGGAATTGCAAATACGTGTAAGTAAAATGAAGACGTTTCAAACGCGGAAAATAGAGAGCCCCGAGAGCCGCCTTTTTCTATCTTTGTCCTCTACTAGGCTAGATAAAGAAGAAGACCTTGCTCATCACATTTCCCAACTTTTTGCTCATCACATTCTTCCGATCATGCTCTGTCGGCTAGAATGTTTGCACCTGGTTCGCTTAGTATTGTGTTTGTCGACCATGATATTGTCCCAGCAAGCACACAATACCTCCCGAAGCGATCATGCGATACCAAATCAGCAGTGCACCTCCGGCCACGTAGCTGAGGTCGAAATGAGGGCGCAAAAAAGTTCGCCATCTGGTTACTACGTCGCCAACGAGGCGTCGACGTTCGCGAGCGCAGCCAATACACAAGCTGAGACATGGATGAAAAGGTTGGCAACTACCCTCACCCCCGCTTAGACCATGTGCTGCAGACGCAACCTACTGTTTTTCTAGCACAAACGAACTTTTACCCGCGCTCTCCACGTCAGTCAGACTTCGGGGTGCCACAAGAGAAGAACCAGTTCAGATCGGCTGGAGGGGCTGCCGATGGGGTGAAGCCGCACGGCTTCAACCCATAACACAAGGACACCGCTGTGGTTGGCTGCTACCCCCCGCAATCCCCGTACGCAAGTAAGCTGATTGTGTCTACAAGATGGCTCGGTTGCATGGAAGGAGGCCACGACAAAGTCGTGAGCCGCACAAACACCGCCTCCGCGAAGACAACGGTCGGGAGCGCACATCGTCACATCCCCCATGGCGCTGCATACCATCCACTGCCGACGCCAGCTCCTCCTTCGTCTTGTCCACATGCAACCCTCCGTCGCCCGAGGACAAAGCAGGAGATAAACCCCCTCCAGATCTTGCGCTTTCGGCAGGTCCCGATGCGCTCCTACTTGGAGATGGCTTGCAACTCAGCTCCTGTTGCGGAACCCCTGTGGTTTTTGACACGGCAGTTCCACCCGCGGCGCCTACAGCTCCGTAGTCGTAGGTCAGCTCGCGGCCTGGCTCCACGTCATCTCTTGCGAAGAAGGCCAAGCGGGGTCTCAGGAACGAACCTCGTCGAATCTACACAGGTGCGGTGACGCGGCCGCGAATCAACGTACCGTTGTACGCAACGTTGGCAGACAAAGTGACGGAGAACAATATGTTAGGTTACTGGGGAAACACCAAAGCAGTCAGCGCTGATATTACTCATATTTGCGCACCAGCCTCTACGCACAACCTTCCTGGCAACTTGGCCTCACTGGCATCGGTCATTCTCCACCTCAGCGACCCCCCATGTTCCCACGCTGTCGCTCCCGGCTCCAACGCCTGTGTGGCTGCAAGCGCGGTGGGTACGTATGGATTGCTTTGTCCCTGCTCCTCTGGTGACCACTCCATCGAGCAGAAAACATGAGGCGAACATGTGTTAACCTCTACAGCGACGATCGGGGAACAGGCCACCACGTTCCCTCGTTTGCTCCTCACACGTCCCGACTGGCAGCCCATCTTTGCTTCCCCCACACAGGTGGCCGTGACCACCCCCGCCACGTTAATGACCGCATTTCTCCGGCTTTCCTGTTATCATAGTGGTCAGGACCCACGTGGTGCTGAGTGTGCCACGGGAGAGACGGAACTCGCGGAGAAAGCGGGCGCGGTTTGAAGTAACTGGCGTCCTTGAGGAGAAAGAGCGCTGCTGCTGAGTTGTCGCAGAAAGGAGACTCCTAAATTCAGGCCGAACGGCAGGTCTTCGAAGATGACAACACCTCTGCTTGTCGACTGTTTTCGTCTTGAGTCCCATCTGCAGTCCGACGTTGTCCACCACGCGTCCATGCCATGATCAGGCACAAGTGCGTAGGGCTCTTTGACCCCCCAGCAGACCCCCGTACGGCACTACCGCGCCGTATGGGAATCTGCCCGGGGGTCAAAGGCCCCGACGAGGAGGCGCCTGACCACGGCCTGAACATCGCCAAACCATAAACAACGGCGCGAAATTATGGACAACATCCGCTTGAAACCATTTCACGCCGGCGTTTGTGGTTAGCCACATCCATGCGGTAACCAGGCACCTGTGCGTAGGGCCCTTTGACCCCCCGGCAGACTTCCACACGGCACTCCGTAGCCCCGTATGGGAATCTGCCCGAGGGTCAAAGGCCCCGACGTGCAGGCGCCTGACCACGGCCTGGACGTCACCAACCATAAACAACGGCGCGAAGTAATGGGCAACATCGGCTTGCACATGGAACTTAAGAACAAAAACGGAGGTGTTGGCATCTCCGAAGGCCTGCCGTTCGGTGATATTCTAGGAGTCGTATGTATGCGATAACGCAGCAGTGCTCCTCTCTTCGAGAGGCACCGGGTACAGTTCCACACCGGCCCCACGTTCTCCACGAGTTCCGCTTCTCCCGTCGCACACCTAGCACAAGTTGACTCCTGACCGCTTTAGACACGGGGAAGGGGGAGAAATACGGCCCATCAACGTTGCGATCACCACGGTCACCTACGTGGCGAGCACCAAAAAATGGGGCTGTCGGTCGGGACGTGTGAGGAGCGTACGATAAGAGGGTGGACTCTTCTACGATCGCAGAGATCTGCCCAGCTCTCCGCCCCCAACTTTATACCGTGTTGGCTTGGCTCACTCGTACCCCTGAGCCTTCTCGTCTACCGAATTGTCTGGCTTCTGCTGTCGGACTGGTGCCTCGTCTGCACCCACCTCCGGCGCCGGCTGCATCCGGCGCCAATCGACTTTGTGTCGTTCAGTTGACTACCTTGAGCTTGGGAGGGCATCCCGAGGTCCACCATTGAACACCTCTGGCTATCCCGGGTCTAGGGGATAGCCCCCTCAACCCAAAAACCCTCTAGCCGACCACAAGACGGCTATAGGCGCGTTCATGCTGGCAGAGGCGTTGAGCATACCGGCAATACGGACATGCTCGTGCGTATGGGAACCGTTGCGAGATCTTCCGAGACAAGAAACACAGTCGCAAGCCATAGATTATTCGATCGCTCACCACAAACACGGACAGGGTTGGTTCGCACGAGTGGTTGAAGAACCTTGACACGTTTCCACAAGTTGTGGCATCGACGATTGTCTGGAACACCTGTTTCCCCTGCGAACAGAACGCACACCACGGCATGACGCAGGGCGGAGAAAACAACACAGGGTTAAAGAACAAGACCGCCATCAATAAATAAATAAAAACCTCGTTGTTGTTCAGTCCAGCTTGTTTTCCAGCATATCTGAAGCATCGACTCATGCAGAGGAAAACATGCCTAGACCACAATTGCAAACATGGAGAGCGTCCAGCACACAAGGTATGACCCAGAACGCCTCAAACCCCCCGCCCTCACTGACGCACTTCCGTACGAAATCAGGAGCCATACCTACGGATGGGTGAGGCGCTTACCCCTTGGAAGAACTCCTGCGTGGTCAAGACGTAGTTCAACCCGTCCCGATCGTACGCGTGCACCCTTCTCCTCGCCTCGGGCACAGGCAGCACCTCTCCAGTGTAGTCCGCGACATACGTCCCTCCGGCTATGGCGCCAACAGAATAAGCACCCCACCCCTTCTTACCCATATACCGAAGCCTCAGCATTGGCGGGACCTTGCTCGCTGCCCCTCTCTGTGTCGCCCTCAGTCGGCACGCGATCCCGCAAGTGCAACTTGTGTGACACTCGAACAGCGGCGCAGGGCCGCTTCGTTGGAGGTGGAGGGAGTGAAACGGCCGTCGTTGGGGAGGGAAAGACGTGCCAGGAAGGGGAGAGGACAGCGTCTGATCGGTACCGAAAGTCTCATGTCCAGCGCCGCACTGGTAACGCGCTGAGGGAACTCTCAAACAACGAAGTAGTGAGAGGCTGCCATACACGAAGGTTTTCGCACGAACGACACACACCACTATTTGCTGTGAACAACCGTACTTAGCCGCAGGGCCGCCATATAAAATAAATCGGTGTAGGGTGGAAATAGCTGCGTATTAACGTTGCCCACCTCTGTACAGCCACATTCAGCTGCACGCACGGACACAAGGTGTCATCCACCCCACATCCCCCGAAACATGCGCAACCCTCGAGCTCATCCGCACCGCTGTCGTCGAACGCGTGGATTGCTTCGTTGAGGTACATGAAACTGGGCGGAACAGGCCCACCTAGACTCCACTTGAAACTTTGCGACGAATGTGATGACCCCCCTGGCGTTGCTTGCTGCACACCGTGCAGTGGGCGGTGTGCCGAGTCGCAAGGGATCGGGTACGGGCTCGATCCGCAAGATATGTCATCGCACTGCTTCTGGATGATGGCCTTGACTTGAACAAATAGTAGAGTGGAAGTGATGGCGAACGCTACAGCATCTTCCCAACCAAGAAAGGACAGAAGGGTAGAAGTGGTGTTGCAAGAAGAGTCTACTAGTGCCTCCACCAACGGCATTTCCACGGGACGGAAGGATGGTGAGTTGGGTCGAATGTGTTCGGGAGCGGCGGAACTCCGTGGTTGGGGGGCTTCGCGAAAATGGATGTATGGGAGGGTACGCGGGAATGGAATCCCGCTCCGTGGGCCCTCCTGATCCACACCGCTCGGCCGTGGTCGGTGGGGTCCTTACTCGTGTTGTGTTGGTTGCTCGCCCCAGGTGCAGTTTACACTCTACGCTACCTGAGCAAATAACGGGAGCCCGAGCGGGTCAAATAGAGCTACAACAGAGGTGGTTGCTTTGTGCTGGCCCAATCTCGAAACGAATATTGGAGATATTGTTTTGTACAAGAGGGCATCCCCTCAGGAGAGTGTGGGCCAACACGACGCACTGACTCCAGCCGAGCGTTCGACCAGGGGGAACACTCGCCACCATGCCGGCTACCGCGGGGAGAGTGCGCATGCCGCACGGCAACCGCGTCAGCAGCAGCTCCGCCCTCAAGATGACGGGCATCTGGACCAACACCATTGGGTATGACCCGTACGCCGCCGAGGGCGGGGGAGCCGATGCCGAGGACGAAGCCAACGCGTTCGAGCAGGCGCAGGGGCTAATGGCGCTGGCGAAGCTTTCGAACCAGGGAGTGAGTGGTGGGAGAGTTCTATCCGTAGGCAACGCGTGCGTTGCCTCATTCATTGGTAATTTTAGCTTTCGCGAAAGTAGCAGTGGACGTGCCGCAAAAGTAGGTCTGGGTGTGCGGTAAGTAGGGGTGGTATCCTACGTCATGTCAGAAGGGGCCCGGGAGACGAGACCCTGCTTTGTCCATCCCTTGTCCACAGCGTAGACTACACTTCCGTTGCTCCCAGTTTTTAACTCCGTACGGCCTTGCCTCTCTAGCTGAACAGAAGTGCTGCCCGAAATCACACAGAAGAAAATTCGCCTGCGATGCGTTTGTTGTTTCTTGCCTTCAATACACACTGCGGTCGAGCGGCCTTGATACTATTGGTCGCGTTCACTTCCTTGACCAAGCCTGAGCCTCCACAATGAGCTGTACAACCTGTAGATCCCCCTTCGCCGACTATCCAATGGCTTGCTGGTTGCGCGCTTCTTTGATGTAGAGTAGTAGTAGTTGCTGTTGTTGTTGCTGTTGTTGCTGCTGCTGTTGTTGCTGCTGTACAAAACCAAGAAATTCACCCAGCTCCTGTACATACGTACACTTGAGGCTTGGAGCGATCCTATATCGAGTATTGGAGTACCTCCCAGCTGGACACAAGCCTCTTCTTGGATCAGTGATACTTGTATGGCTTTTCACATGGGTCGACCGGCCACCACATAAGCACGTAGTATACGACGCCCAACAAACCGCAATTGCTTCCGTCGCGGCCGCGCGCCTTAGGGGTTGCCCGACTTTTGGGTCGGGACTTCGTTCGTGGCAAGTCTTGTTTTCCTTTAATCGATAGCGTTGCTTCCTCCGCCCCCCCGCCTGCCCTCCGCGAATCATGAACGGCGTATGTACTCCGCGCAGGTCACGGAGCAGCGAGGAGCTTGCAAAAAGGTGAGTGGGCGGCTCGTTGATGTTGAGCGTGGCTTGTTTGATTGAATAGCAATTGGACGTAGCAGCTGCTTGGGGCCACCACTTTTTCTTGTAGCCATGACCTGTTGAGAGAAATATGTCTGTACCCTCTGCTGGCTGCTGGCCGTGTTTCTCTAGGGGGGCTGTACTCCGACACCAGCCGAGGAAATTCTCACTCTTGATGATGTTGTGATGTTTGGGTTGTCGACAACGGGCAACGTCGACTGACCCGCAGACTGCGCTGCTCAGAGGTCCCCCCCCCCCTCGTTGACCCCCTCTTCTCTCCCCATCCCTTCCTGCCTCGTTCTTCCTTCCCCCCTACCTCTGTTGAATTGGTTGTTTCGAACACATAAACCGTGTTGACTCTCATGTCACTGTAGTGCGGATCGGTGGGCCACCTGACCTTCCAATGCCGGAACCACATCCAGCCTGTCGACGCGGGCGCGCCCATGCAGGTACGTACGGCAGCAGTGACTCGGGGTTGATGGCGTACGCTTGGGGTAAGAGGATACCAACACGCTCTAGAGAGGGGTCCTCTTGTGGTTGAGAAAAGCTGGATCGGCGTAGGAGAGGGAAGCTTCTCTAGTTGAGAACGGTGCAATCGACGGAGTGATAGGGGGAACCTTACGCGGTGCGGGAGGGTGTCGGCTAAACTCCTGTGTGTGAGAACGTCTTGGTCGGATGGTTTCATCTCCTTTTGAGAAATGGTGCTACTGAAGCGTAGAGATTACGACCTTTGACGGCGATGGTGCACTTGACACCGGTCCCACGACTTGTCGCGGGAAGTCTCCAAGTTGGATACGTCGCGTGAACTATTGCTGCTGAACTGCCGTTGCGGGCAACAAACGAGAGGCCTTTAGGTGACCTCGGTTAAGACTTCGTTGTCCATGTCGACACAATCGACACCGAAAAGATCATTCCTCTAGCAGTATTGCAGCTAGCTTCACACTAGCGGAAAGACGATAGGTAGCAACAGAAGTAACGAACATCTTCCTCTCTGCCTTTTTTGGGTGTACAAGTACCTCGCTTGGCCGATCCGGGCGTGTACCCCTCGGTGTCTGTTTTCACACACACCCTCTCGGTTCTTGGTGGCCGTCTCTCCTTAATGACGACCGCCTCCCCCCCCCGCCTCCCCCCAATGCCTACCCTTCACCCACCTCGCGTGGAACTGCTCACACTCAACGGCCTTGTTTTTTTTTTCTCTTGTCGCGTCGTTCCTCGTCGTTTTCCTATTTCTGGTTGTGCACCCGCCAGGCGGTTGCGGAGGAGTCTGATTCCGACTCGGACGACGTCAGCTCTTGCTCTTCGGTGTCCGACAGCAGTGACGGGGAGGTACGCTGCATGCTACATGTACATACCCATCGAAGGGAACCCCCGCCGTAAGAAACTAAACGCAGCACGGCGATGCGACTCGCGCTTTGCTTCAAAACCAAAATCAGGCAGGTCGGTGAAGCTCCGATGTTCTCCGCCCGACCTAGCTTTGCAGGGATACTTGGGTCTAGGGTATGGACGCTAGGACCATGGATGACTGCGAGTCCCGCCCCTCCTCCCGCCCAGATCATGTGCATTGGTGCAGTGGTTGTGCAAGCCCTCAAACGGTGCTCAGATTGGTGATTGATCTGTTGTGTGGAGATGCTGCGTTTCTGTCGTGATGCTTGTGGCATATATGCGGTACACGCAAGATGCTGGCGGGGTCAAAACTTAGCTCCCTACGTGTCAGTCGCGCATCGTAGCTACTGCAGCTTACGGCCCCTATCGTTTGTGTGATACACGTTTTGTGTGCCTGATATGCCCAACAGGACTCGGGCCGACGCAAGAGTGGCGGCGGGAGCGGCGCAATCAGCAAGGGCAGCAAGGGTAAGGAGAAGAAGAGCAGCCGGGCCTCGTCTTCCTCCCACAAGGATAGGGACAGGGGCAGGGACAGGGACAGGGACGGCGGGGGGGGCAAGAGAAAAAGGCGGAGGGAGGCGGATAGCAGCGATGACGAGGGGAGCAACGACAGCGACAGCGGCAGCGACGTCCGTCGCAAGGGTTCAGGGTGAGTTTTTGGTTTGTTTCTGCCTCGGACTCTGTTGAGCTGTGGCGAGGCGTTGTGATTGATGCGGAACGCAGGGCTTCAAGAATGAAGCTTTCGCTCCCTCGAGAACAACTTGTTTGGATTGTCGCCTTTTCTACTGTTATTTGGGAGTCTTTGGGGAGGCGATGGTTGACGATGCAGCAAGGCTGTAATCTCGACTTGGGGGCACTACGACTTAAGTGCAACACAGCAGTGTTGATGCCTACAACTCATTGCCTGTGAACCAAGTATTGGAAATGGTGGTATTCCCTAAAGCAGTAGTGGGTTTATAGGTTTTTCCCGACGAGGTTGCCAACGTGTCAGGCCTCTAAGGTAAATGAACATCTCGGTGGGGTGCGCGTGTTGTAGTCTACCGTCCCTCAAGCTTCTTCCTCGGGAATGCGTGAAATTTTGCAGCAAGTGCTCACACGGCACTACCCTTGTCCAGCCCTCCGGTGACGCATTTGAAACGTTCGAGTTTGTTGGTCACGACGTAATATTTTTCCTCTTGTCTACCCTATAGTTCCAAAGCGAGAGTGCCGCGATAGCGTCGTCGATGTACTTGTTTCGAATGCATGAAACCCACATATGGTGTTCCGGCGGCTTGGTGTCGTGACATTGCGTTAGGCCAGCGATGAAAACGACGGTTGGTTTGTAACGGTTTCAAGAGGCGTTAGTATGGCTCATCTTCTTGTTGCTCTGCTGTTTCCCAATACTTGACAATCCTGTTTCCTCAAGGTCAAGCAAGAAGCGGCGAGCGCGCAGTGGCGACGATTCTTCCAAGGATAAGGGCAAGCCGGAGCGGCGGGAGCGAAAGGAAAAGAGGCGGAAGGACCGGGAGAGGTCAGTTGTCGTTTTGGGCTTAATTCATTGCCCCATCCCTAGTTTTGTTGTTACTGGCCTCGTTTCAAGCTGGTACCTCCCCAGATCGATGAGAAACACGAAGGGACTGGATTGAGGCCAGCCTAGTTTCAGAGGGGAGCTTGCAGCGTCGACGAAAAGAACAGCAAATCGCGAAGTGTACATCGTTTCCATGTACGATTTCGCCCTTGTGACACTGCAAAGTTTTTATCTGCCCTCGTGCATTTCCATCTCGTGTGTCGTTTTAATGTTTTGACGCCGTGCCTCGTTTTGTCTGTGTTGTTGCTGCTGTGATGGTCTCAGGGAAAAATCGCGTAAGTCGTCCTCGAAAAAGTCCAAGAAAGACAAGCGAGAAAAGAAGAGCAAGCACAGCAAGCACAGCAGCCGGAAGAAGTGATTCGTCTGTTTTCGTCTTTGTATGTACCAAGCCCCTTTTGAGCGACTATATGCAGCCAAAGCTGGCTGGCACCCCAGAAGGGCGAAGCACCGCAATCGCGGGGTGGGAGAGGTGGCCATTTGAGTGCTGTGTTGCAACCGATGACGCGAAGAGTGCACGTGTGTGTGCGAGCCACCCAAGCGACGAGTTTACGATAAGAGAAAATGTTTGGGCGAGGGGAGCAGCTCGAACCAACCCCCCAAAGCCTCGACGATATGTATGGGGGAAATGCTGACGCGAAGGCCTGGTTGGTAAGAAGCAGAGGAGGGAAGAGGGGCAAGAAGAGGCAATCAAGCTGTCGTACGTTGCGTGCTATTCGACTTTGTTTGTTTTGGTCCCTTTGTGCTGCGTGCTGGGAATGGTCGCGGGGGTGGGTGGGCTTGTCTCTCAAGGTATCCTCGTGAGCCTGTTTAGAACGTGTGTCGCTTGGAGATTCTGTTTCCGTTGTGAGCAATTACGTCTTTGGGAACGAGCGCCCGCCTTGCGGCCTTTAGACACAAGTGACCCACCCTCTGTTGACGTTTGTGATGAAGACAAGCATGCGTTCCTGCGTGAAGCTAGCATCTTTTGAAGCTGGTGTGGACGAGAAGGGGAGAATATTGTCGCAAGCACTTTGCCGTAGCTGGTACGCCAATGAAAGCAAGTGCCCACACCTCACAGGGTCGTGCCTTTTGACCGTAGTAGTAGTGCTTTCACAGTTACGTTTGCGAGGATGTCCTTTCACCTGTCTGATGTAGAAGTGTGAACGGGTGCATTGTTGCCTTATGGAGTTTCGTATGTTCGATACATTTTCTCGAATTCTTGCTTTGCCGTAGTCATATCCGGTGGTTTCCAGGGCAGGCTACAACGTGTTACCGAAAAATTAGACTGGGATCTGAAGGGTAGTTCAAGGGAAAGATAAAGGTTAACAGGCTTTGGCAGGAGTTGCAATTCCCTAGGACAGCATTACACTCGTATCAGGAGAAGGCCCCGCGCCGCTGGAGGAACCACTCCCTTTGTTCAGTTTACCACTTCCTTGTTCAGTCTACCAAAGAGAGCAAGACAACAGCACGGACTGCTGCTCAAAGAGGTTTAATCAACAAGTGATCTTCGCAGGGTCTTCAGAGCTGGCGATGTGCGGAACATCCAACGCAACTCGACACAAGTAGACTTGCCAGCATTGGCCATTGGTCCATGTACCCATCTGGATGATAGGCTTGAACGATGAACACAAAAGGTTACTAATCGACAAGAGAGACGTCAGCGCCCTTGTGTCATCCGAGCAAGAGATGCTACTCAGGGTTTTCATACCACGGAGTTTTCATACCACGGAGCCCCAGGTATCCATACATCTACCATGATTGCCATGGCCCGAAGTGCCCATAAAGTGCACACAACGACTTAGTTGCGAAAACAAGACATGAAGGAACCGCTACCCGATGAAGTCGAGGGTCCAGTGAAGAAACGGCTTTGACCCGCCAACGCAGTTGGAACAATGGCTTTCCGTGCCATTCAGGTTATAGAGTTCCGAGTGGATTCAAACGATTTTTCTTTTGACATAGCGGGGTTAGTGTGACTCAAGGGGGGGGCATCGTGGGTTCCACCTCAGCTACAGGAACCCAATTCGAGGAATGGGGAATCCACCAGGTAGAGATTCGTGCATGGTCGGCCTTTTGCCGACGACCCCGTTTGGCTTCGCCGTTGTGAACGTTAGACACGACTGATACTTGATCTCCATAGAGTTTGCCCAAAATAAGACAAGGGGAAGACGAGCGGGGTATTGGTAAGTACCCCGCGTTGTATGGCAAACGAGGGCATCAAAACAACACTGAACAAAACGCACGACATTCATTACATTACTTGTAGTGCAACACGGCCCAAACACGAAATGAATAACTACAACGACATGATTCACTTCTAAGCATCATTTCTTCGTCGTGGAAGCTTTGAGCTTGGCCTCCATCATCTTGTGGACACAGCCGCAGCCATCTGTGCAAAGCTCGAGTGCCTCTGCGACCTTTTGTCCGTCGAATCGTCCTTCCTGCCACCACTGTGTGACCTGCTGCGACCCTGGCATGAGAGCGATAGTCATCACGCCCGCCCCGCTCTTCTCTTCTTCTTTCGTTGGGTCCAAGACCATCTGTCGAGGTGGGATGCAGGCAGACAAGTGTGCCGGAACATCATGGATCGCAACCAAGGGCAGTCGACAACACACGCCGTTCCTTCCAAGTTCCTCCTGATAAGAACTGCAGAATATAAGGTAACACGTGCTACCGGTGTGTTTCGTCGGGCCAAGGACCAAATTCCCCTTTCGTGCGCTCTACTGGTGGAGTGAGGCGAACTTAAGGCCTGTGATACAGAGACGGGCGCCGAGGTCGGTCCTAACGCAAACCACTGTGAGGTGCCGCTTGAGCGGAGAGAGCGGGACATGGTTGCCTACGTAGGTGCTGAAGAAATCAAGCCAATTGCATCGTGAAGCGGGATAATGTTGTGCATGAGTAAGGCGCGTTATTCGGGGAAGTGGGTACGCCGCAATAGTTGGTAATCCCCGTGGGTAGGAAGGTCTCACTTGTGTCCCACAGTAACCCACGGAGCATGCAGTCACAAGATCGTAGAGCTCTATCCCTGCGTCAGCTAATGCCATTGAAGCGCACGTCGTGGCAACTGCAAGCTCCCCGCCGTCTGCTTGAAGGACCATGACGTGAACCCCGACGACAGATTTGGTGAGTCGATGCACCTGGGCACAGCAGAAGTAGGCGCCACACATGGCGCGAAATTTCGGCAAGCTTGCTCGCATCATCGTTGAACGCTTGAACAAACACTGCAGCTTGCCACAGAGCTAAGTTACCTGCTGGTGCTTCGCCATCATGAGAGCAATGCCAGAGCCCCCCGACGACAACCGTCGCCCCAGCAGTGATTCACGCCTTCAGTCCCCCCAAGAAATGCCGCCAAAAAGGACATACGGTAACGTGACACGCAGACCCATTTTGCTAGCCGGTGTTTCACCTGAATGGAAGACTCTAGGGTCTGTCGTAACAAGGTGGACAGCTCCCGCTCATCGTCCTTCTTCCCTCCCCTGGTTTCCCGGCGTCCTCCCGGCATCGCAAACGGCGCGTAGGAAAAATCGCACTGGAGCTGCCCCTCTTCGCTGAAAGCGCTGTCCCCTCCGGTTTGCGCGTGCGGCCCATAGACAGCGCATATCACCTACCAGTTACATAGTAGGCAGTTGCGTACGCAGAAAGCGAGTCAAGGATACCTCGCCACGGCGAGATGGCGACGGAGAGACGACGGTTAAGGAGCCCAGGAGAGGGCTTTGGTGTTGGAAGAAAGCTACACTGCCAAATGCTGCGTCGTAGCACGTTTGGGTACGCTGCCCTACTGCTGCCATGAACTGGTGGCAAGCTCGCGGGGGGGTGGAAGAGCTGGTCGCTGGGTGAGCCAGGCGGGATATACAGTGTACAGTATGCGCTTCGTTGGCTTTTGGGGCGGGGTCTTACCTTGGTGTGGTTAAACTCCACGTATGCCGACCCCGTTGCGTGAGCCACAACCCCGACATCCATGTACACCTGTTGCAAGCGTCAAATTAAATGTCAGCGGCGTTACACGCGCATTCAATCGATGCACAACACAACCGTTGCTCGGCGGGAATACTGCAGAGAACGTTGCGTACCACGGCATTTTCTACCAATGGGCAGACGCTTCTCGTTGGCGTGTACCGCCAAGAGTCGCGTTGGTCTAAGAAGAGGATGCATCACGCAAGGTGCGAGTGCACGCTCATACCTGACGCATGTCATACGGCGCACGCCCATCCTCGCGGGTAGTGCTTGCGAGGCTTGGTTCTTTCGTGGCGGTGCCGTTGGGAGCCTTGCCGTCCCGATCCCTCCGCTTACTCTTTGCGTCGTTCTGAGCGGGAGCCGCAAGCGGCTTGTAGCAGTTGTTCATCCTGAGCGGTTGGCTGGAGACAAATACTGCGAATCAACCAAGTGCCGACGAAGACGCACCAGTTGACAAGTGTCTAAACAATACCAACAAACAACATCCTCTGCACCACTGTACACTATTTACTGCTGGTGCTGTTGTGCCACCGCCGTGAGCGTGGACTCAAAATTGACAATAGTGGTGACACGCAAAGAGCTACCAACTGTTGGCTTGTTCCTCCTTAGAGAAGGAGCCGCATCCTCCTTCAAAAGGACTGCTTGGTCAATGGTCAAATTACCGAGCACAGGGACAGACGAGTCTGCCGCCCCCTGCCGTGCCAAGAAGAGACGGAATCCATGCACTTGTCACTTGTCACCGGACGTCTCTCCGCCCGCTCTATTTGACCTAGTCTGAGCCGCGCGCTACACTATCAATAACTCTAGTGTACAATTGCGCGGCACGAACCCAGAGTTCGAAGGCGGAAACTATGGCTATGTGCGCGTGTCTCACTAGGACCCCGACTGGCTCTTCTGCAGCGGTACTGCTGTTGGGTGGATTCAGCCGGGGCTACGACAAGCTCTGCCGGGTGCCAATCGTGTCAATAACTTCCATCGCTTCGGTTGTATTGTCAGGAGTGGAGTCGAAAACATGGACAAGGCATGGCGTCTTACACACCTTTCGCTCCCTCTCCGACTTTGCTCTATGTGACCTTGCTCCTCCCTATGGCTGTGGTGCTTGTGGTGCTGTGGTGCGCCTGGGGGCGGGGAGGGGGGGGGGGGTAGGGAGAAAAAATAGGAGGAGGCATTCCTAGTACCAGCGAGGCGACAGACACAGCAGAGCATACAACAGCAACGAGGTTGATATGTGCTGACTTGCGAGCGGTGTGCACTACAGCGAAGGAGACGCTTAAGCGACATGAATCCGTTGGACGGGTTTGGTGTGGGTGGCAGGAGAGCTGTGGCTCGAAGATGTATTCGTCCAAGGTCGGTGTTGATGCTCAGTTGCTTGGTGATGACGTCTCACGGCTTCATGGCACCGGGCGCCCAAGTCCGAGCTCCGCGACAGGTGAGAGCAATACCTCACAAAGGCATTCCCCTTAGGTGGGTGGTTCATCTTCTGGGTTCCCGTTTGTTCTCTCGTTGATTAGGGTGTCGTTATCGGGTTCCGTGTACACACTTCTGTCCCTCCTTTTCGCCATCTCATCGCACCCTCTGTGCTCGAACATGAAATTGTAACAGTCCCGTGACTGCTGTCAACATGAGGCACCCCGTGGCACACACTGGAAAACTGGTACTCCGCCAATCCCACGAGCAATTTGCTTGGTTTGCACCACACATAATGTGGCGGGTACAGCAGTAGCGGACACGATGTTGTTTGTTGGGGGCAGATTGGGGGACGTGTACGGGATGGATTATCGTAAAACACCAGACATTCCAACTGCTCTACCATCGTTTGGCCGCGCACCCCTTCATGGCTGAGTCAAGACCACATCTTAATCGCAAAAGACGAGCAAGCTACGGCCGTCCGGCTAGTTGACCCAGCAGTTAAAAGCCAATTGGCGCGCGCCAAGACGGCGGTGGCACAGCCCCATCGCACTGACAAGGGCTGTACTGCTTGTTTTTGGGTCTGACACAAGTGGTACACCAAACCTGGAGCAAGCTGATGTTTAAGTCGTTGCTCTGCTGGGAATTTGAGCCGAACCTTGAAGAAATGGAGACACTTGGAGACGTACTCTACTGTAGTTCGAAAAGCAAGCAAGTTTTCCAACTGATGGCGACAGCCAACCGGCGGGATCAAAGAGGACTGGCGACATGGCGTGGTCTATGCCCAATACTTTAACCGAACACGAAACGGACTGCCGACCATCCGACGACACTGCCCTACATTTCTCCCGCTTGACAACTCTGTCGCATTTTTCACGCAGGGCTCTCCCTGCCAGTCCACCTCGGTGGAGCTGAGTGAAGCCGAGGCCGAACCAGGGACTGAACCAAAGACGGTACGTCCTTCACGTGAGGTGTGACCTGGCTTCCATCGTCTGTCGGGGGGGGGGGGGGGGGTACTCATAAATTGTCGTGCATGCCTTTATCGTTGACCATTGACCCCGCTGTCGGCGAGGGGGGTATTCGACATTAGACTAGACTTCGATATACATACTCGTACCCTCTCCCGTCCGCACTCACCCCTATTTAAGCGTCGCGGTTGGGCGTGCGTACCCTTTTTTGCCTTCTAATCCGCCACTACATCAGGAGCCTAAGCTCGCACCGGTGGCGCCGACCACGACGTCCAAGGGAGGGCAGTGGGCAGCGACGCCGTTCGAGATCGACAGGCGGCGAAATTTCGCGATCATCTCGCACCCCGACGCCGGCAAGACTACCTTGACGGAGAAGCTTCTTCTCTACGGTGGTGCTATTCAGGAGGTGCGTGTATGTGTGTGTTTTCTTTACTTGATTGGAACGCGCTGACCGGCTGACCAATGACAAGACGTCAGTCTCAGTGCGGCCGCAGCATAATGTGTGTGTGCGGCGTGCGTGTTTGAGCCCAGGATTTGAGGCGGCGAAGCTTCTCCTTCGCGTTACGGCCATGCCAGCATCGCGAGGAAGAACACAGCCGTCGCTTGACGACGGAGATCACGATGCTCCTTGCCCTTCGTGACTGTCTCGGGGTTCGGGCGAAACTTGGACGTTTTTTGTCTTTGCCTGGCATGGTGGCCAAAGTTGTACAATCGCTCGATACATGTCGTTTGTAACGTAGTGTTGCCGCGGGCGATCTGCGAGAAATCTTGCGCATTTGTAGCCAGACTACGGGTTAGCCGCCGCACACACAAAATAGATTGGGTTTGTGTGCCGTTCCTGGTAACTTTTGATCTATTCTCAGTGATGATCACAATGGACGCACAATGCGTTCGCGTACGATATGGTCGCAATAGGCGGGAGCCGTGCGGTCACGGTCTGATCAGCGCAAGGCGACGTCGGACTGGATGGAGCTGGAGAAACAGAGGGGAATCTCGATCACATCGACCGTGCTGTCCTTCGAGTACGACGGGAACCACATCAACCTGCTCGACACGCCTGGTCACCAGGTGCGCGCACGTGGATACTCGAGTACGTGGGGGAGACCATGGGCTGTTGGTTGCATTGTCGCTGATTTCGTGGCGACGGGTCGGGACACTCACGGCATAGTTGATAGTGCTCGCCTCTCGACGAAGCTTATTTATTGCATAGGCTACACGTGCAAGTGTCAGCTGTTGTGTGGTCTGTGGGCCGAATTGCTTTGCAACATGCCGGCGTGAGCGTAGCGAGCCCGTTCATACATCATATGCCCGAAACGTATGTTATTAGTAGAAGCCATTCACAAAAATCGCGCCGTCACTGCTGTCGTCGGACGCACGTGTGTTGTGGTGGTGTTCGTTTGTCTTCCCCAGGATTTTTCGGAGGACACATATAGGACCCTTGCTGCGGCCGACAATGCGGTGATGTTGGTGGACGCCGCGAAAGGGCTGGAGCCGCAAACTCGCAAGCTCTTCGAGGTGAGGACCGAGAGAGCGCGCGTGGCTTCTTTACCTGGAACACCTGCAGATTCGGACCATGGCCTTAAGACTCTTTGCCGGAACGCGGTGAACGTACACTGTCGTACATCCTTGATCGGCGGGTGTCAATGGAAACATCCCTCCACTCTAAGGGGTGCGGCTTTGTTGGCAGAATATAAATTATTAATAAACACTTGCAGTAGTAATACGTTCCCCTCTCCCTCGCTGCCGGACGGGTGTCGTACGTTCTCGGACAGGTGTGCAAGCTACGCGAACTTCCCATCTTCACGTTTGTGAACAAGTTGGACAGACCAAGCCTCAGTCCGTTCGAGCTGCTGGACCAAATCGAACGCGAGTTCGGCATGAAGATGGCCCCTGTGCTGTGGCCTATCGGCGACGGCGAAGAGTTCAAAGTAAGCTCTTTGATGGAGACAAAATGTCGGGGGGGGGGGGGGGGGGAATTCACCGGTGCCCTTTCACAGCCTGCCAGGCGAGTTCGACCGAAACATGTTCTTTACGGCACCAGGTTTCCTCTTGCCATTTTGACGTACGGTCCTGGTTGAAGTGTCTGCGGCCGTGTTTCAAACCTCTGGGCAAGCCGTTATTGTAGATGAAGAGAGGCACACCAAACTAAAAGTCAGTGGGGGACCGGCCTTGTCCACCGAGTGGCGACGACGACACCATCGGCGTGACCGTTTCGTGCGTTTCCGACGCTTCGCAGGGGGTGCTGGATCGCGATACGAAGACGGTGCACCTGTTCGAAAGGGCTGGCCGCACCAAGAAGGCAACAGACATGCCGGAGCTCGACCTGCACGACCCCAAGCTTCCGGAGCTGATCACGGAAGAGCTACACGAACAGCTCCTGGAAGATGTGGAGATGCTCGACGAGTGAGTTGCAACGCCAGAGAGGTCGTGCTTCAAAAGGCAGAATTGGTGTCGCCTTATGCATAAAGCAGTCGTCGTTTTGCTTTTTATTAATTAGTCTTCGTTGTCCCCCACAGCCCCCCGAGGACTGCGTTTGCGCAAGCGACCCCAAACAAGCACAAAACAAAGCGAATCTTACCGGCTTGAAGCAACGGCTACAGCGCGATCGTTGCGATTTTGGGCAAGCTGAGGAGTCGATTTCCAACACTCTTTCCCTTTGTTGTTCTGCATGCCATGGGACGTTTCCCGCCAGACTTGTGGAGCCCCTGGACATGGAGCGCGTCCTCACCGGGGAACAGAGCCCCATGTTCTTCGGGTCGGCGATGACCAACTTCGGCGTGGAGCTCTTCCTGAAGCGTTTCCTCACGATCGGGCAGAAGCCTTCATCTCGACGAATGGGGGTGAGATCGAACAGTCCAGGGTTGCCTGGTTCCTAGAAGCGGGTTGACCAAGCCGATCGCTATGTTATGTAGGCTCTCGAAACCAGGACGATGTTGTTGGTGGTTGACTTTCTTGTCTCCTCTTGAGCGGGGAAAGCCACTCGCATTTTGCACGATGCTCTTGCGGATAAGTTGAGACGCCTGTCCGTTGTGTGGGATATTGTGGTCCGTGTTGCAAGCATCGCCGATTGGCACCTGTGGTGTTGAGTCGGTTGGATACACACGAGATGCTTTGCGTTGTTTTGACGGTCGCGTCGACCACACTCTGTCTCCCCGTTTACGCTCTTGCTGATGCTATCGCAAAGAATGCCGACGTGATTTTACCTGGCTACAACGAGTTCACGGGATTCGTGTTCAAGCTACAAGCCAATTTGGACCCACGTCACCGGGACCGTCTGGCCTACGTTCGGGTGGTCTCCGGGCGCTACGAAAAGGGGATGAAGGTGAGATGGAATTTTTTGGCAGAATTGTTCACTGCGGAACGATCAGCAATGACAGAGTGGCGCACGATAAAAGTTGGGATTGATCACACTACAAGGTGGTGCACACAAATGACAGCGACGGCCGGCCGCTGGTGGTATGCGTAGCTCCCATGGGCTTCGTCCCGGCAAAAGGCATCTACGAAGTACCTCGCTACTGTCGTCTTTTTCGTCCTTCCAAGACTGAAATTGTCCACGCTTGTCCTTTTTTGTTGTGTTGCACGTCCGCGCTTCCTCCTCTGTTTTTGTGCAGGTGCAACACAGCCGAATGAAGGGGAAGCAAGTCACCCTGGCCCACGCCCAGCAGCTGTTCGCGCAAGAGCGAGAAACCGTGCTGGTGAGTGGTACCCATCAGACGAGCCCCGTGGATCCGATTCCTCCATGATTTATGGTGGAGTTTGAGCTGTAGCATCTTCGAGGCTTGCTTTAGAATGAGGTCTGCATAAGGTATAATGCCAGCGTTTGACATGATCAAAAGTGGTGTCGGGTAGCTATGGAGTCGGTTTGGATAGATTCGAGGGTTTTCAAAACCGGTGCTGATTGGTCAAGGGCTCGGTCTGGATGTTAGAGCACGCACTCCCCTGCCTCACCCACCTTCAAACCTCTCGACGATTCCCCCACACCCATACTCGCAGGCTGCTTACCCCGGGGATGTCATCGGGATCAACAACCCGGGCCACTTCGCCATCGGCGACACGATCTTCACGGGCAGCAATAAGATCCGGTTCCCCGGCATCCCTTCTTTCAGTCCGGAGTGCTTCGCCTACATGCGAAACCCTAACCCGAGCAAGTACAAGAACTACCGAAAGGGGCTAGACCAGGTGCGGCCTCCTACCTGTGGTTGTTCTCACCGACTTTGGTGACTTAAGGATGCCGTCTGCAAGGGGCACCACGGTTTGCCAATATCGAAATTAGAGGTACCTAGAACAGAGAAGCTTCTTCGATGTTGCCATTCCCTGGCCGTGTTGTCCTCCACGAGCGAGCCCTGGCTCACAAGCGCACGGATTGCATGCGTGCCTCTCTTCTACGCAGCTACTTGACGAGGGTGCGGTGCAGATGCTGAGGGAGCGGTCGGACGATGGAAACGGCAACCCGATCCTGGCGGCAGTAGGCACTCTTCAGTTCGACGGTGGGTTCCCCTGATTCGCACGCACGTCGCAAGCACGCCTGCCCCTTCGCCCGCTACGACGCGCGGTCTAGATGATTCACGAAAGACGGCCCCATCGTATCGGCACGATGAATTGGGCAACCGCCTCGCTCGTAGTGGCAATGTGAACACACGTATCGCAGCTTTGCCTCGAGGAAGGCACCCGCGCATGTTTGCGCGCCCGGAGAGCCCACGCCATCACGCTTACCTGAAGTCATTCGTATATTCCACACCTACCTTCTTTTGTACTTCCTGTCATTCGCGGCAGTGGTACAGCATCGGATGAAGGCCGAGTACGGCGTGGACACCATACTGGAGCCTTTGTCGGGGTACAACACGGCACGGTGGGCCGAGGGGGGCTGGGAGTCCATCGATGAGGCCACGGTACGAACACAGCTAAAAAACGAAAATAGACTGATGACCGTAGCGTCGCGAGTGTTGTACGGGGACCAAGCATGTGTAGTGTACGGTGAGGCTACGTGCGGACTGTTAACGTCGCCGTCTGATTGCTTCCAGGCCCAGACCTCTTCCGTTTTCGTACATAGCTGATGTGCCCCCCGGTCCGTTGTCTGTGTTTCTGCGTCTTGGTGTCCAGAAAGCGGGAAAGCTGTTCGGAGTGTTCACCGCTCAGGATAGGTTCGGGCGTCCTGTTCTCCTGTTCCGCAACGAGTGGAAGCTTGCCAACGTGCAGGGAGACCTTCCCCAGCTCGAGCTCATCCCGTGGTCGCGTCCACCGGATATCATCACATAGAGATCCTTAGAAACAGAACAAGTCTTTCTTTGTCCTAGTGGTGGATGCCATTTTCATGCATGTGTTTGCGGTACGGGAAACATTCCTTCACAGAGTCTTTTTCGTAAGGTCTTTCACGCACGATATGAGCCACCAGAGAACGATGGGATGCCTCCACATAGATGTCGGTTTTTCGACGGACAATTGGAAAGGAGTCCCCATTCAACAAGAACGAAACATCACGCCACACGCCGTCCTGCGCACGAAGCGCACCATTGGGGTTAGGGGTACCCTACACAACCCGGTGCTATCTCAGTGTAGCGTCTCCGCAGTAGGGTTCTCGCCGAAACCAGGAAGATAGTTACACGGCTGGGTGGTGAATCCACCCTTGTCCCCTCTGTGGCTTTGCGACGGGACAAGTATATTCGCCTTTGGCGCTACTATTCCGATGTTCGGAACTTCCTTCCTTAGTGTCGCCTCGCGTTCTTCGACCGGATGCGCGTTCTTACTTCTGCAACACTCACTTACAGATGTGCATACATCATCTGCGATTTTCTCTCGTCTCGCCGACAAAATGAAGCCTCACAGCGGAACTCTTTGTCCACCTTCGCTACGGTAGTGGTAGTTGCTCTTCGGGATCATCGATCAGCATCATTTTCAGCCCATTCGTGCGTGAGAACACCCAACCATTCTTGTTCCTCCCCCCAAAAGTCGAAATGTTCCCCAAAATTCGACATGTTGTCCACACAAAAATTGCGCCGGTCAGTCAACGTTCGGGCGCCGCTTCCCCGTGTTTCCGACGGAGAAGAAATGAATGGATCCATCCCTCTACATTTGTAAATAGTACGTTTCGTGACTACGCGATTTTGATCGAAGACGGCCTGCGACACATCTTTCACGACGAAGCAGTGAAGACCCAACGCTTGCAACCTACGTATGCTTCCAGATACATCTCATGAACTACGGCCTGTTCTCGGACTGTGGGAAACCAAACCGAAGATACTGATCTTACTTGTAAACACAAATCAGGCTTCCTCTACTCGAGAAAAGGTTAGGCCTTGGTGCTGTGGACCCACACGGGCTGCTTCAGGGAAGAAATCAATTCCTGCGGGGGCGTGGGGGGAAGGGGACCGGGGACGAAGGTGTGTTGTGTGAGCACTAGTGTTCGGGCTAGCGGAACGTGGAGGCAAGATGTCTCCATCAAACATTGTGCGAGCAACGAAAAACGTTGAATCCCTATGAAGATTCTCACCGACGCGCAAGGCAAGCAAACACCAACCCCATGTTTGGCCACTCTGGTTTGGCAACAACCGAACAACCGAACGCGACAGTGGTGCCACGCAGTACGAGACAACGGTAGCGGCTACGGAAGAAAGCTAGAGTCGGGAGCCAAAAACCCTCTCTTCAAAAATGAAATCTGGTTTCCTCTTAATCCGTACTATAACCCATGCATTTCTCATGGGCGGGACAAGCCACTCTTACTCTCTAAAAATATCCGTACTTTTTCTCTCAACACAACCTCTCTTATATCCTCGCCGCTGCCGTAAGGTATGTAGCCCTCGCCGCTGCCGTAAGGTATGTAGTTCTTCCTCACGCTCTGCGTCTCTCACCTCTGGGAAGTCGAACGGAGCAGACTTTCCGGCGATCTTCTCCCCGGCGAAGAACTCGATAACCTTGGGCAGGTCCGTCATGTCCGAGATCACGATCTCCGCCCCCTTTCCGTTCTCGGCACGCCCCCCAGACATGAGCATCTCGGCATGCGTGTCCTTTTTGTAGTCCGGGATGTGCGATGCCCCGACGTATCCCACCGTCAGTCCTTTTTTTGGGGGGGGGGAGACGCAGACACAAGTACGTTGAAAGTGTTTTGGCTTCGTTGGCGGTTGAGGTTGTTGCACTCTGGGGGCTGCGGGAGCCACAAGACCTGCCGCCATGACGACGCGCCCGCTATGTGCTCGTGTGCCACACACAAGCCAAAGCCAACGACTACCGCTGGTGTTTCAGGGGGGTTGACACCAGCAAGCACGTGTTTTTTGTTGCCTCGACAGTCGTCCGGGTTTTGCTGGACCTCCTGCTAGGAAGACACGACGAAGCGGCGCCATGTGCATTTCTCCGATGACAGCTACCAGCGCTTAGGTGGACTCCTTGATGGTCGCACATGTTGTGTTCCCCTACGCGATACCTCAACACCTACACTACAAGTACAACAATGCCGGCTGGTAAGCGAGAAACAGATGGCGAGCGCGAGACATCAGCGGCCACGAAACAGCACCGCGAGAAGGAGTGCTGTGAGCCGTTTCAAAATAAAGCTCTAGCCGCACCAAGGCTACCAAAACTTATGTTTCTTCTCTCCGACACTGCCTGTTTGTCCCAAAACCGCCGAAAGGTACATACCGACGTCCAGTCCGTGATCATTACAATACTCACCGACGCCGGCGTTCGATGCCGAACCAACGCCGGAGCCGCTGTCCTCCACGGCGATACAGTTGGCGGGCTCCTTGCCCTCCGTTTCCGCGGCCTTGAGGTACACCGACGGGTTCGGCTTGAAACGCGGGGGGTCGAAGTCGCTCTCCCCGCTATGCACCTTCCCCGAACGAAAAATGTGCGGGTGTGCGGGGGGGGGGTCATGTATGCCATCGTAGGTTTCAGGGCATAAACCTGCCCCATCCCCACAGCGAGGGAACTCAAGAAAGAGGTGATCTTAAGGCTGTGGCTTACACGGGTTGAGACCGGGAGGGCATGTGCATGTACCAAACTTGGACGCAACAGTCACCAGCGGCATCAACGTTGTCCCAGATCGTTTCTGCACCTTGTCGGCCGGGAAGTACTCGTCGAGCTTGCAGGCCGTGATGGACGCCGGCACCCTCGGCTTGGGGCTCGTCGTGGAGATGCAGAACGCTACTCCGGCGGCCGTCAGGGCAGCCAGCACCTGGTTGCGGTTCGCCCGACGACACGACACGTGTTACTGCTGTCGAGATTGGCGAAGAAACAGGCAAGTGTCATCCGATCGATCGCCACGCCTCTTGCTCCGGCACAAGCTGCCAAAGGAGACGCGACCACGCAATGCGGTGTCAGGGTTCCAACACGAAGGGCTCGCGCAAACCAACGCGCTGATGGGACCGACGCTAAAATAGCGCACTGATAGGGGACCGATGTACGTCCACGAGCGTCGTCTGCCAGCTCGACATCAAACCATCCGAATGGTGCCTGCGGACCGCAAGGGCGGGGGTGGACGGATAGACGGGGGAAAAAAAAACAAACTAACAGCGAAAGAGACAACGACGCTACGACAGAGACGTGGACGGTCTCACAACATCACGCGATCGACGCAAAACTCAGCACAAATAAACTACTTTCGCCACGACACACATGCTTGAGGCAGCGTCACACATGGCACAGACCCGCCGCACTGCCCACGCACCTCCGGCACTCCGTTGCACGGCTGAGCGATCTTGCTGAGCGCGTCGACGGTCTCCGTCTTCTGCTGGATAAGGAGGTTCTCCTTCTCGCCGCCGTCGGGGGCGCGCAGCTCGGCGAAGGTCTTGAGCCCGAACTTTTTCCGGTGGGGGTCGACGGCGTCAAGCATCTCCTTGGGCTCGGACTTGGCTGCATGCGCGTGTTCAGAAGCAATGGCGGACGATGCAGAGGGGGGAGGGAGGCCTAAGCACAATGGCGTACTACTTATATACTCTGTGCCGCCCTTGGGGGTCGAGAAAAGCAAGGCTGTCGCCCAAAAGCTTGAACTTCTACAACCAAAAACCTCTGCTTCTTCTACATAAGGAAGACGAATGCACCGATAAACATGGTGTCATATGCCGTAAATGTGCTTGTGAGCATGAGGGGGCTTGAGTGTTGCTTTGTTCTTGCCTACGCCGACTCCTTTACAGAGCAAGAAAAAGGCTCTCACCACTTGACCAGTGTCTAAATGTCGCATCGATCTTGGGTAAGCAAGACTCTGTCACATTATCGCGTGCCGGATATTGGAAATTTCTTGTTGACTTGGCCCTGTATGAATCAATCAAATTTGGCTCTTAGTTCCCTCGCGTGCAGTCAGAGAGACTCCCGCACGCAGGCAAAAAGACAGGAAAACAAACGAAAAAAGACGCGTGCCACAGCCGGGGCCCACTGGTACGCGTTCAACGGACAAGAAAAACACAAGGTTATTGCGAAGCAACCAAGGCGGTCTCGCCTTACGCTGCTCCTGCTCTCTCTTATCTCTCTCTCTCTCTCTCTCTCTCTCTCTCTCTCTCTCTCTCTCTCTCTCTTTCTCTCGCTCTCTCTCTGTTCTGCCCCTTTCCTCTCTCTCTTATCTCTCTCTCTGTTGTGTCTGCTCGTCGGGTGTGTGTTGATCGGGCAAAAAAAAAAACAGCCGGGTCTTTTGGACTCATTTAGAAAGGTTAGAATACGGTGTGCATATGCAAGGAAGACTCCACCTGGTGTAATGCAGTGCCTCATCCCGCCGTGGATTCGAACGCCTTTAGTCCGTGATTTTTCTCAGACTAAACGAGGGCAGGCCGGACCGGCCACCCGTGGAATAAATTAAAAACCTTGCTGTTGCGTATTGCGCGCCCCCAAAACTGGAAATGAAAACACACCCAACACAAAAACAAAACACACCAATCAAATAACCTATCCGGCTCACACCATGATGTACGCAAGGAGGCCAACAAGACAGCGTGAATAACGTTTGACATCGTTGGCCTTGTATGTGTGTTGTGTTGTGTTTTCGTCATTCATATATTCCTAGGAACATTTTTTTCCTCTCACCTGCGAACGCCTCCGAGATCGTGCTCAGCCCCGCGGCCTTGCGGTCCTCGTCGACCTTCTCCACCATGAACTCGAACGCCTTCCCGGCGTTGTCGCGCACGAACTCCGGCATCAGCCCGTCCAGCTTGTCCGGGGCTGGCGTATCGTGTGTCGGTCGAGACACGAAACGCCGTCAACATCGTAAGATTGAAAAAAGTAACACGCAGACGTGCGAAACGCCGTAGGTGCAGCTGTAGAAGAGAAAATGTAAATGGTACACACGTGCCGAGCAATGAGAGCTCGAGTTTCGCATGGATTAGGAGTATTGAAGTAGAAGTACAAGTAGTATTTTTCGCTTGTGGATCTACAGTACAACTGGTCCATGATTGAATCCCTCCCTCACTTCCTGCTGGCAGAACGGTCGGTCGGCTGAATTCCCTGTTCGAGAAGCTCGTACAAGGCGTGAGGCCGCTCTTCCCTGGCTTTGTATGAAACAATGGTTGGTCGTGTTGTGTGATGGCAACGGTTGCATTGACAAAGGGGCAGACCTACAATGCGAATGCATTGATGGTCCGGTCCCCGCTGGCCCGCGTGTATTTTTCATGATTTCACTGCTTATGGGAGGGGCATAAAGTTACAAGAAGAGTTGGAAGTTGGAAACCTTTTCTCGCAACTTTTCTCATGCTAAATTTATTGACGACAATCGTGAGATCTGGAGCAAAAGTTTGTGTAGTTTTCTCGCGACTGAAGTGTCGACCAAAAGTTTCGCGGCGAGACTTCCGCCAATCCACGCCAACCACCTGCCCCAACCACACACGTAGACCTTCTCCCGCCACATACACGCGCACGATCCACACGATAGATGCACGGCGAAATCACAATAATTGAAGGACGAGTTGGAATTGCCTGCGATGGCCCTAAGCTGTGTACAATACGTATCGGTAGAGTCTGCGTCAACAATTTGCGTTGGATGTGAGCATGAATGAGGTCTTCCTGGCTTCGATTGGAAGGCACAACGCCTTGTGCCACCAACTCGTTTTCCAAGCTTCATTTGAACGTTCTGGCCGGTTTCGCGGTGTGGTATGAAGGGGTGTCCCTGCTTCTCGCCGTTGTTCAATAAACAAAAAACGCCTCCGCATTCCACCAGTATTTTTCAAACACCTGTGTTTCTGACAAAAGTTCCCGATCAAAAGTAAAGTTGCCAAAACACTTGAGCTTTTCTCGCAACTTTGCGCTCGCATAAAAAGCAGTGTTGCACAGTTGTTTTCGAGCACCGCCACTTCGCGAAACTCACACATGTTGTAACCTAACATTCAAACTCCGGTAGGTGACGTGCTACAACTGCTCTTCAGTTCCTCTTCAATAGAGGATGCCAGTAGTTCACGGACCTCGAATCCTCAGTAGTGCCGGCATTGGCACAATTCATGGCCAGGACTAACATAGAGCCGGTGCCTGGTATAGTGCCCGCGAATCTGGTTGCCACATAAAACGAATGTAGCGGCACTACTGAGGGACCGCGATGTGTAGACGATACCCATTAGGAAAAGTGTACTATATTTTAGGACCTAGAGTGTATATGTAGTTGAAGAGGCAGAGGAATCGAGCAATATGTGAAGCGGTTTTGTCTGGGGATGGGGCGACTCACTGGTGTCGGGAAGGTACGGCGCCAGCTCCCAGAAGGCCACCTCCATCGCCGGGGTCTCGGTATCTCCTATCGTCCCGTCGAAGTCGAAGAGGATGGACATCTTGTCGAATGCTTTGGCCTTCTCCATTTTTGCTTGTTGAACCGCACGCAAACGTGTCTTGTTTCGTGTCGCGTAGGAGTGTACTCAACTGTGCGCTATTCGTTCCGATGGGAAAGGGAGGGAGAGCAATAAGAACAGCGGTCAAGGGATCCGCAACGGGGGAGAAGAGGTTGGGCTGGCAAGATCCCGTCTATGGCAACTGGATAGCGGGGGGCGGGTGCAGCTCTGTAGATCAGGAACATGTGGAACGCGGAACATAGCTAGACTACTGCTGACGAAGCATGTAACGTTGCTGCATGTTGTGTACATGACATGAACCGGGGGCGCGTAACCTCCGCCCCCGCAAACCCACAAGCATCATCTCGGAGCCAACGTTAACGCTCGTTTCGTCAAGGGAAGACTTCTACGGCATACCTTGGAGGAGAACGATGAGGAAATGTGTGTATTTAGTGCCGACACCAGCTGCTTGAGAGCTGAGAGCGGAGAGTTGGAGACGCGCATCTTCTTCTTTTGCAGTGGAGAAAATATAGCATGTTTTGACAGGGGACAAAAGCAACACTCCCGCGCGCTCTGCTGCTCGTGAAGGAGCTGCGGTGCTGTCTGCTATGCTGCTCTGTGGTATTGAAACTCGTGCTCTCTTGCAATCTCTACCCCATGATTTTGGCGCGTGCGCCCCTGTTGCTGCGATGGCATCGCCCATGCCAGTTTCGAGCGCGGATGGCTGTGATCAGCGGTCGTCAAAATGGTTGCAGCAGCAGCAGCAGCAGGAGAAGAAAACGAGAGTTTATCGGTGCGCTGTTTTCGTCTTCCTCCCCCGCCACTCCTGGCAAGGTTGATGGGGATGAAGACGTAGATGCTGGCCCGAGTCTCCACGAGTACATGGCGACACTCGGAGTTTTTTTCACACTCCCGGACCAGGGCATCAACACCCCTGAAATACTAACCAGGTTAGTACAGGAGTGCGCCGGCAGACAGAGTAAGTTGAGGAAGCTGGCCACCAGAGAGAGTGGAGGTTCGGCAGCACTCCTGTGCTTATTTACCATGATCCGACTTCAGGCCCTTCCGAGCAGCCTGCTGCTGAACGCAAAATTGCAGCATCTGTTCCGCAGAGCTCAGTTTATTGTTATGCTATTGTTTCTGCTTTTTTATCCGAGAGAGATCGTGCCTACTGGCGATATGCCTCACACGTACCAGGTAGACTACAGGTGTCGACTAGGATCTTAACAGTTGGAGAAGAAAAACATGGCCACGGAACGATTGCCTTGTGATAGAACTTGAAGGCATTGGCCTAAGACAGCAGTAGCAGGAAAATAGTCCGTGCAACCCTGAGCGGCTCGCCCAAAGTCTATACCGAAATCAACTAGAGCCTGGCACCCCGACTGCATGATACGAGAGAAAGACAGATTGACGTGTTGCAACAGAGGCGTATTCGATAAGTGGCGAACCATTAGACTACTTGCAGAGTCAAGCGCTGACTTCTGTGCAAGTAGTCTGATGGTTCGCCTTTATGCCGGAGATGCCTACTACCACTGGCCCAGCTGGGAGGCTGAGAGCCAAGAGTATATCTTTTATTTCCACAAAGGTGAACCATTACATAGACTACTTGCAGACTCAGCCGTTGGATTACTTGCTGACTGCAGAGTCAGCCGTTGACTCTGCAAATAGTCTGTGTAATGGTTTGCCTTTATCGAAGAAGGCCGTCAGGGGCCTTCGGTTCCCCGCGCTCCGACAAGCACAAGGCACAACAGCGTGCGTCGATGGGCTACATGGACACGTGCGCTGTGATCCTTTCCGTCCAGTTTCTATGCATCAGCCCCAAGCTTGGCCTCTACTGCTGTGCGACTAAAGCAAAGTATATTTTGGTGTCCTTTCAAATGACAACAGGTGCAGCGCCACCCCGGTGAGACAAACAACCTCCTCGCCGCTGCGCTTCCTCGCCGCGGCCCATGCGGTAGTGCCATGGGCCTTCCCTGGGTACCACGACGAGTCCCATGCCTGGCTCAAGTTTATCGATGAGACAAACGTTCGGTACTACGCGGAGCTCAGAGATGTAAGTTGTTGTTGCAATACAGTTTGTAGGAAAATTCGAAACTTCTTTCTTTTTTTGCATGTGTGTAAAAAGAGAGCTGGGCTTGAATGAAGAGGAGGGTTCCGCGACATCACAGCAGATTACAGAGGCGCGGCGCAAGGTATGTGCAGGCAGTTTTCTGCCTGTAAGCTCGCACCAAGTCTGGGTGCATTATCGCACACATCTCGTTTCGCGAGCAGTGCTCACGTACGCTCAAGATGCGTGAGTTCGCCGAGGCTTGAAAATAGTCCCGTGCGAGGCACGCATGTCCGCGCGCAGAATGCACGAACAAACCACGCGTTTCGTTTGACTAATTGCACGGTATTCATCGGGATCGGGAGGATGCACTCGCCTTCATTCGTAGGACCACTACTCTGCGCTCGCTTCCGTCTCGTCCTCTTTTCCCAGAATCCTTCTCCACCTTCCCCTCTTTGGCTTTGACGCACAAAACGACCGCGCCTAACACTCCGCCCTGTTTCACGTCCCATCATCACCAATACCGCCACCTCCATGGCGCCCCCCCCCCGCCAAAACAGCCCTTCACAGGGGTTGTTCTAGCCCAACACGAGCTCGTCAGCCTGGCCAGACACCCGTCCCGAGACATGGCCGCGCTCGGCCTCAAAGGCGGCGATGACGGAGACGGGGAAAGCCGATTCCTCCGAGACGTCGGCTCCAAGGGCATCCCTTTCTCCCCGCTACCCCTGCGCCGACGCTTGATCGACCCATCGGAATCTCTCCGCATCGTCGGGTACGAGGTTCGGGAGCAGCCGGGGGGGCTCGGGCAAGGGGAGGATCCCGGGATGATGATAGTTCGGGCCAAGGGGGACTTGGCGGCGCGGACGGCGATGCAGGCCTTTGTGGGGACGGAGCACGCGACTCTCAACCCGGGAATGTGCGGCGCGGCGGTGCTGGACAGCGATTTTGAGCTCTGCGGGTGCGTGGAGGGCGTGGTGCCGACGGCTCCCCCCGAGGCGGAGGTGGAGGCCCACGTTAGGGCCTTGCAGGGCATGCCTTGCGTGGTGGAGTGGAAGGACTTGGACACGCTCTTGACGGCTACGATGGGCGACAAGGATGATGGTGATGCTGCGGGCAGTGGCGGCGACGTCGGCAAACAAGACGCGTGAGATTGTGTTTTGGATTTTGTTGACGGTGACAGAGAGGAAACGGCGAGCGTACGAGGATGAAGACGAATCTGCTGGTGTACAGAGGAGGGGTAGTGATGACGGGGGCTTGGCTACTGCGTTCCACACATGTCTATATCGCTCTTGCAGAATCTTGTGTCCACAGTTGTGTCCTGTTCGTTCAAGCCGGTACCGAGTGCCAACATAGCATGCTTTTCGCTCGTGGGAGTGTAGCGACGGCGCTGAAAGTGGAAGCCTAGATCTGTCTACAATGGGTTCGAGAGGTGGGGCCTGGTATGTGATGGGATAACAAACACGCGGCCACATAGACGTGTGCGCCTATAAAGGCTTTGGTCAGACCAAAAACATACCAGATGGTGGCGCCCGCAATGTTCTTCACATCTTGATTATCCTCTTACTTTCCTCTGTATAAATTCCAAAGGGCTAATTCCCGAAAACCCGAACATGGCCCGGAACATGATCCCGAAAAACAGATTGCCCGCGTGCGAACTCCCGTCCGTCCCCCCAGAAAAAGTTCGAGTAACTACTGGTGCCGGGTACGCGATGGGCCAAAATTGTGTTTCACGTGCAACGGGAAACAGGCTTACCCCACCCCCCGCCGTCACCTTTCCTGCTTCCCCATGTCTTGAATGTCCTCGTTCAGGCGAGAAACTCGGCCGAAGAAACCACTCTCCAGCCCGGAAGAGGCGCAATGATGAGTAGTCCCGGCCTTTGTTAGGGAAAGCTTTGTGTCGGCGTTTGTCAGATAGGCAGTCAGGTTTTACTAGGCGGCCACTGCTGTTTTACAGGTTTTTAGGTTGCGGAAGGATGTGCGCTGCATTCTCATGTGTTGTATGCATACGTACGAGCTTATCCTCGAGTTGATTGCAGTAGGCGCCCCGGTTCTTCAAAAGCGCACCTTGTGATACGGTTTCGCTGCGGGTTGACGATCGCCATGGGACGGTGCGTGCCCTGAACGTCCTGCACCACCTATCTGGTAGAAAGCTTGTGCAACAACGTCGAGTGGTGCGTGGCTTAACTGGTTAGGATGCGGGTTGACGTAGCTTCGTTTGGTGGTTTCAGCACAGTAGCTCACGGAATTGGCCTCCAAGGACCCCCAGTTGCTTTCGATTATGTTCGTGTGATGTGTCAACCCCTCGTCGAGTCGAAAGCCCTGCTTCCCTGAAGCGTTCGTAGTGTTTTTTTTTAGCAGCAGCAGAAACCCCAATTGGGGAACAGAGATGTCTGCCAACATGAGGGAAATGACAGATCGTTCTTCATCGAGGAGCGAGTGCTGCCGTCGGTGCAATATTTTGTCAATTGGCACAAACGTATGCTTGCACGATCGATGGGGGCATGGCAACACAACAAGTGGGTTGACACGGGTTTCATGAGGAGTGCAAATCCGGAACTTAACCAAAATGTTCCTTAGTTAGGCACATGTACAATGATACCCGCGTCAATCCTGGTTCCTATACCTCGTTGGCCAGGGGGAGAGAACATTTATTCTTTGAGGACGTTGGTGTTGTAAGCTCGAGTGAAAACCCAGAGCAATCGCACCACACATACGCCCCTTGTACAGGCGAGCTTTTTACGGCCGCGTGATGCCTCGGATGTGATGCCTTGAGCATCAGGTGCCTAATAGTCACGGTTCACTGCCCGCACTGATAGTACTTCATAATCCCTCATTTTCCCAATGATGCCACAGAGTAGTGCCGCCATCCTTGTTGCACGCGACAAAGCCACACCTATCGGAGGGAGGGATGGATTCGCTTCGCGCATCAATCGCGAAAACTCGTTCTGGTAAGGTATATTGTACTCACAAGGGACACAGGGTACCGCAGCGAACAGAGGTTGCTCCACGCGCGTGCATTATGTACTCTATAATTGGTGTTGACCTCACGTTGTTGGTGTGTTGTCGCGTGTACTTCGTTATCACGCTCGCGGCTCTTGTCGAGAGGATTCCTGCACAGAAAGGATTGTGACTCAAGTTCCTTTACAGGAGAATATAACGAGTGAGAGACGGGGGCGAGGCCAAGCGAAAACTCACACGTCAAGTCCATCACACCCATCAGATCCACGTTACTCCCGGAGATCTCGGAGATCAGTATTCTGCCTAAAAAAACTCCTACTTCCGTACGAGACACGATCTACGAAAGAAACCCGCCGTACATATTGATCGCCAGGTAAAACGGCACAAACTCCAAATCTCAAACCCAAAAACCATCCATCGTTCACATCCACAAACAACTTCGCCAATCATCCCTACTCCGGGATATATCGAGTATTCAGATTTCAGAATATTTCTTTCTCCTTGATCCAGCATGGAACTTCACTAAGTCATGTAACTTTCAACCCTCTTGAAAACATTTCGGCACAACAAATTCTCAAGCAGTCCAAAACAAAGAATTATTGTCTGAAAAATACTCAGCAAAGATCAACATTACATCAGAGTCGCGTCAGATTGGGACGGATAACTCCGGAAAAACGTGTCAAATACTGCTTGGAACAAAATCCTTACACAAAACCATGTTTCAATTCATTGACCAAGTTCGGGTAAGCTTCGGAAGCACACAGACCTCAACCATCTCTTACCACCAAACTAGGCCAAATCCTTCCTCCAATACATCGTTCCGACAAGCAAATATGGAATATCCCTCCAGTACTTCGTCTCAATCGCAAGCAATATGTATGTCGATTGACAGCCCCCATGCTGCAACATGTCTCTGATGGACATTCAATCCGTCTAATTTAGGTCGTCCTACGGTAAACGCAAGAAACACTTGAGAATCCTAACGTGAAAACAAACAAACATCATGAAGATAGAACGCAGAAACGCACAAACAAAAATTGTGAATTTCCCCTAATTATCCGCAGGTAAAACGCGAAAAACAGTACAACAACATGAACGACCAAACTCTGTTTATACTGCGGCGAAAATCATGCCATCAGCATTATCTCCCCCCATGAGTTTCGACAGCAGTGCTAAATAGTAGGGATCCAACAACCAATATCAACTGCACCGTTCGGCACAAATTCTTGATAATTCAAACCATATCGTGAACAAAAAAGCATATCCAATGAAAATTAGCATGATGTTACCACCATGTTCGTGTGCATCGCAACACCAGAAAAGTTATCGCGACGAGCTCATCGTGTACTTGCGCTATTATTCCTCCCACATACAGTACACGGGTGGTAGAACGCTGTTAACCCTGCGAGGTCGAGATCGATTATTCTGTTTCCTGAACATACGACACTGACAATGTTGCTCGGACGAGAGCGAACGTAGTTCGAGCATGTAGTCCACTCTGCATTGCTTTGCTTTCTTTTGGGCTACGAGGCCAAGTAAAACAGGCACGGCACGCACGACGGCATCTAATTGTTGATGGCCTCGCGAGTGCTGTGGCTTTTTTGTTGGCATCGCAACACCAATGAAGGACCTTGTAGTCAGCCATAGAACCCCCCCGCGCCCCCTCCCCCGTCAGCTACATTATTCGGATTGGCCAGACCCGGAGCGAAAACTTAGCTTCCACCGCTCCCATGAAATGAGCCTGCGTTGCCGCCTGCATGCGGCTCTGATGTATTGCTCGCGTGTTCTCGATAGACGTATTGACAGACGCATGCACAGAGCACCATCTTCAAAGTTCGTCGTGCAACACCAGTCGAGATGATCAGAGACGCATGTTCCTCATCTGGCACAGCTGCTCATATGCGGAGATCCAGGCGAAGCTTAGGTACAACATTAGCGGTGCCTCCGCCCCATGCCCACCGCTGCCGCCACCACCACCACGTCTAGTTTTCTTGCGCCACTCCTCCCGAGCTTCCCTCATGTAAGGGTTTGTGCTCTCCGAGTGGGAGACGAAGTACCACGCCGATGCCTTCTGGTACACCTCCACGCCATCCGGAGCGTCCGCCGGGTGATAGTCAGACCCCTTTCCTTCCACCCTTGCTTCCTCCTTCCCCTCATCCACTTCCTCCTCACCGGGTCGTTCCTTCGACCCTTGATCCGCCGGGTGTTCCTCTGAAAATTCCTCGGAACCTTCCTCGGAGTCGTAGTTAGAGTCGGAGTCGGAGTCGGAGTCGGAGTCGTGGTTGTGGCCCCGAAACTCGGCGCGGAATTTCGCTTTGATCTGCTCGCGAAGGTAGGCGCGTGGTAAGACCCAAACACTACCCCTGCCATCCAGCGCTCGTGCGTGCATCGGCATGAACATGCGTAACTTGAGATGATAAAAATTGTGACAGGAGCACCCTTTGCGAGAAGTCAAATCGCAATTGGAGTGTATGCGATGGCTAGGTTAGCGCTTTTAACACATTATTGTTGGTTACCCCGATGCGTTATTTACTCATACTCCGATTTCACAAGTTTCCTATAGGAGTATTTGACCTACACAAGTAAGACACCGGGCTATATTTTCGAGAAACTTACAAAGTTTCCTATAGGAGTATTTGACCTACACAAGTAAGACACCGGGCTATATTTTCGAGAAACTTACAGAAAGTTTCCTATAGGAGTATTTGACCTACACAAGTAAGGCACCGGGCTATATTTTCGAGAAACTTACAAGAAACTTCAGCGAAAAGCGCGTCCCTTACCGAACGAAAATGCACAAGCCTCCGTGTCTCTTAAAGAACGACCCGGGCGCGCGCGCGGCACAGAGGGAGGACAGAGGAGGCGAGGAGGCACAACAACCGACTCTCTCTACCGTGGTTTTCATACCAACGTATCGTTCTATTTCAAAGTGGGGTCGGCCGTTTTCCATGACGACGGCACACTGTAAAACAACTACTACGCGCCGAACGAACAGTCTTACCATCTACACACAGTAGATAGACCAAACACCGAGAATGCAGAAGGCATGCCGAGCGGCCCGCTACAGCACCACACACAGCAACACTGCATGCAGCCAGCAGAGAACATACTGCGATCTTTTGTAGCATCGTCATCATCATACCATCAGCAAGCAACAGACCAGCGATCTGCCATTTTCTTCCCTCTCGGCGAAAAGTATTTACCACTTTCTTTCGTAATAAATCCAACGCAGTTACAGTAGTCAGTCGTATAATGTTGATGTGTTTAGTTAGGTGTTGTCAGTTTGTGGTCGTCCTTGTGGCAACAGAAAGCGGAGGCGAGTCTAACGCGCCCGCCCTATTTCTTTCACGCCGACACCCAGCGAACGTCGGATAGAGAGAAAAGTACCGACCCAACCTTGACCCAGCGAAAGTATTTCAACGGAGGAACTCTTCAACCGCTCTATAATGATAAGGAGGGATTTTATTGCTTGAAGTACGTGGACCAACAACTGGTGTTCTTTCGTTCTGGTCCGCGACCCACGAAACGGTCCCCGCATCCACGCCGTTTTCAGTCTGAGTAATTTACGACGCCTCTTTGAACAGATACCACTGATACTAAGATAGAACGTGCTCACTGGCAGCGCATACACTCTTTTGTTATCGCTGACAGTGATTTCTTCCGACGGGCTACAAGCGGGGGGGAGGGTCCTCGAACAGGAACACTCCTAGCTCATTGTGTCCTATTTTCTTGTGCTTGCCTGGGCGAACTCCAAGTTCAGCCTGCCCTGGGCATCCTCCAGCTTCGTCCTCTTTAGCATCCGACCTCCAAAACGCTCCACCTGTTCGGACAGCATGCAGTACAGCTTTATCGGCACTGAACAGGTGGTGCGTCAAAACCCAGACTTGACTACACGTGTCATGCATCTTTATCATGTCATACAGTCGAACGTAAGCGCTACACCACACCATACCGGCGACATACAAGTATGACAACAAATACCGGCGCAGCTACTCGTACGATGCTGTTGGTTTCAGGGTAAAGATGATACAGAACCGGCGCAACAAAGTGCTCATTTTATGCACTGATGTTAGACTCCAGATATACATACCCAAATTACGATCCAACACCGCTGGGCGACGAAAAAACAACAAAACAGTAAAACAGTCCACCTGGCCGCTGACTAGCTGTCCTTCGTCGAACACACCATACTTGTTGGAGAGTGACAGCATGTCTTCGGCGAACTCCGCAAAGACCATCTTCTCCGCATGCAGAAAGCAGCAGCAACACAGAGAGCGGGTTGCAGTGCCGGAAGCTTGGTGCCAAAGTATCGCCGCATGATTCGGTGAAGAACCTATCCGGCCACACATCATCATAAGGACAGCACTGTGGCAAAAAACACTGTCACAGCAGTTAGAATAATATTCCATCGTTTCGAATCACAGGCTTGCTTGAGATGGCGTCACACCTCAGCCTCCTCGAGGAAATCCTCGTATCCTGGCGCCAGAAGCGACTGATCCAGCTCGAAGCCGCCAAGGAACCTCTCGTCCTGCTGCTGCCGCCGCTGCGGGTTAGCAGCCCCAGCGGGTGGAGTATCACGGAACAGCCTCCCGATCAGCTGGTTCCGGTAGCAAGAAAGGGTTGGAGGCATGAGGTAGGCAGCGGGCATGAGTTGGGTGTAGCCTTGTGGTGACCGTTGTGGTATCTGCGGGCATGCCGAAGCGGTACTGAGGGAAAACGAAGGTTTAGTTATCGAGTTGGAATTATTGAGCAACAGAACCTTGGGGGCGTTACGACGACGATGTTCTGCGGGGTCTTACCAGAACTTGAGACTTAAAAACAAATTGTTCATCCTAGTGTTCACCCTTGTGCGTTGCCTGTTATTAGAGGTCAATTGTTGTTTGCGTCCGAAAGCACGGGATCTCAAAACACCGGACAAAGTCAGCACGACGCTTAACTCGGTACAACACCACTACACGAGGAAAAACTAATGCCTCAAGCGACATCGCGCGGCGTGTTTCAATTGTTGCGATACCTGCCTCTTACCTTCTTGGAGAGATACGTCATGTTGTCCTCCTTGCACATGAAGTCCGGGTAGCTGTCGACTTTGAGCTCCTGTGCGGTACGCAGTGTTTCGACGGTCACACGAAGCAGCAGCGGAATGTATCGTCATCACGTCGCCCGTATTGCTATCCTTCCCCCTTGAACTGAGTGATTTTTCGAGGCAACCGTGTTTCCTCCTTCCTTTTCCGCCTCGAGGAAAGTTGCGCAAGACCAGAAGGACTCCCCGGCCCCCGATAGGAATCTACTGCGAAATCAAACCCAAGGCAAGACGGGTATGCCCCCCTGTCCCACCACACCCTCCCAACACACACATCCCCCCCTCACGTCTGGAAAGACTGCCGGCACCCCCGACTTGGGAAAGTCCACCGCCTTGGAGTGCAATGCTGCCAGCTGGAGGCACTCATCACACCTCGCCCCTAAAGGGGACAGGTCGGCCCGCACTAGGTGAGCGTTGGCGATCTTCCCCAGGTTGTCGTTCTGGATGTACTTGAGGAAGAAGTCGGCGATTTCCTGGCATGGGGGTGATCGAGACGAGTACAACGTATTGGTGGATTGCACTTAGAATGGTTCACGTTTGCGAGACAACCGACGAAGCCCGCGCTATTCGTTTGTCCCAGCACCACCAGAAGCGTCAAGCACGACGCCTTCGAGGAGGCTGCTGTCTCTAGCGGGAATCCAGCAGCAAGACCTGTGACTTCTCGACCTTACGATCTATTGGCACCCAAAACGTCGGAGGATGCTTACATTGAGGCTTCGGACACTATCACGAAAATTCATCATGTGCTCGTTCCGGGGCTTCGGAGAAAATTACGTTCAAGAATATTCTGTGATACTAAGTTCTGCAACAATCGCCAAACAGAACTTGTTTTGAGGCTCGAGGTGCGCCCGCTGCCCTCGAACTGAAACAAGAAGGGCTAGCTGAGGTTCCCCCTCCGTCTTAGCGACAAACCACGTGGTATCACGTAAGCAACAAGCCAAGGGCGCTCAGATTTTCGCCTGATCCTCCATGCTACACTACTGTCGTGTGAGGGAACTAGTAGGTTCCAATATGTTGCCGGCGAGTCCCCGACTGCTGCGGGAAGGTCTAAACCCTACAGTGCCCGATGTACCTTCATGTCCACACCCTTGCCCGACGAAGAAGCCGAAGTCTTCGGCTTCTCCGGCGGCTCGTAGCCCATCGCTGGAAAGTTGAACCCATTCTCGCTGTCTCCTTGCACCCCGGCCACCCCTTCCCGTTCAGGGGGTAGCAGGTCCTGGTCCCAGACGACGGAGTAGAGGTCGCCGTCCAGGTCGCCGCCGCTCATCTTTGAGGGCTCCGGCCTGAGCCGGAGAAGGGGCAGCACAACTCCGTCTTTTCATGGTGCCGTCCAGGTCACACATCGATTGCTTCATCTTGACCAGAGGTAGGCTTTTCTTTGTATGCACCCTTTGACTACTGTACGTTCAGCGTAAAGAGGGTAGTAGTTCTTTCGGCAGCAGTAGAAAAGAGGGTCGCTGTCTCGAGCAGGTCGGTTTCAACGTAGTGACACCCTTTCACCGCACTCGATGAGAATAGATTCTCGCGAAACGACATTAACAGTTCATGGCAACTACCCAAGATAGGTCGATGGGCTGGCTAAATAACAACAATGATGCCGGTCAACCTAGGTTGTCAGCGTGAGCAACGGGCGGGCTCTAATTTAACCTTACCCTCCCTGCTGTATTGTGGGGCTACGACTTACCGCTCCCCTTCGCATGAGAAGACTACCACGTTGACGAGGTGGCGAAGCTGGGGCACGTCTCCTGCCGTTTTCAGGACGCGGAGATCTCCTGGTGTTGCGCGGTGTGCGCGGCGGGCAGGCGGGAAGCGGCAGGGGGTTGGAGCAGGCGGAGGGACGGGGCCAAAATTTCCGGGGTTGTTGGGGTTTATGGGGTGAGGTAATCGCTGCGGGTTGTGATGCCCGATCTTCATCGTTCGGTGAGATGCTTGTGTGGCAACACAATCGGAACGCAAAGGGTTGAGGTCTATATCGGGACTTCGGCCGATACGCTAAGGTTGGGACAGAACGGTTGGGGTGTGGTTAGATCTGCTCCCTCTCCTTATCTCTCTCGCTCGCTTGCCTGGGTGCAGGCTGGGGTTTCTGCAGACCAAAACCGGCGTTCCTTCGGGCAGCGTCGACGAGAAGTACACCTACGAGAGCGCACGGAGAGCAAAACGTGGGTGCCGCTTGGTTAGCCACAGGCTCCTTCCTCCGCACACTCCCCGAAAAAAAAAAGGTGAGAAAATGTTGACAACCGGAGTGCCTCCCCTCTCGAGCAGTTTGTGATGGTGTAGTGCCTTCTTCCGCTGAACGAAAACTTGGGGTGGTCGGTCCCACTATGGAGGGTTGTCGAGAGGGTTTGTGACAACGCTCGACGGCAAATGGATGACATCGAGGACACCCCCCCCCCCCTGCCCCTGCCCCTCCCCATGTCCCATCAACCATCTACCTCCTGCGTGCATTGCCCAAATCTGTCAGCGTTTGTCATGATGGAAGCACGGTTTGCGGTATAATGGTTTACCGACCGGCACCCAAGAGAGTCACTCGCCTGCCCCGGCTGTAGGAAGCCGGTCTCATCGACGATGCCCAGGAGACAGGAGGCGTCGGGGACAAAGATGCGCGTCCGGTGGCGAAGGTCGATCATTGCTTTGTCTCTCGTAGCGTGAAGAACGCTCTGCGTGTAGATGCGTCGATGAGGTGGGGAAAATATATTGTCGTGTGTGCTATAGCACTAAAGCTGGTCGTGCACGCACTAGCTTCTGCTCGCTTGCCCCGGTGCAAACTGCCCTGCCGGGTCCCAACTTCGCGCTAGGAGAAAGTGCTCTCAGGAGCGTTTTCACGTCATGCATGACAATACACGTTGCTGCGTGCTGGCAAGGGGCCTGTGTCTCCCGCATCCGCGATGTCATGATCCCATGGCGACAACCATACACGTACTTCACCTGCAGGAAGGGTTCTGTCCGGATGTTGATACCCGCCCTCACCATGGCCAACGCCTCCCAAAGGGGACCGACCTGCTTCCTCCCCGTTTTACCCCCCGAGGTGATGTTGTAGTAGCGCACCAGAGCCATCTCGGCCTCGGCGGGATCGGAAAGCATCTTGGTAACGTGACAAACAACAAAGTTCAAGATTTTGGATGTTGAGCGTGAGGAATAGCAACGTACCCGTTCCGAAGGAACCAGATATGAGGAGCGGGGGTTGGAAGGTGGGCCTGTCGGCTCCTGTTCAGTTTGTATCGTGTCCACGGTGGTTACAGAATGGTTCATTTCGGCCTTGTCGAGGTGGTACTTTAACATCGTGTTTTTGACGTTGTCTTTGCCGAAAACTCATTGTGAGCTCTCGTCACACCTACCTCCACATTCTTACTCTAGGCCAAGATGTGAACTTTGGTAGCAACATAAGCAAGATCCAGCTTGGTTGGGAAACAATTTCCCGGGGCTGATCTGCAGTCAACCGAGCGCGAGAAATGAGGTGCCCTATGATTGGGGGAGTATTGAGGGGGCAATGGACGCTCCTTATTCGTTTCTTCAGAATAGACAAGACTCCGGTGGCTGCCTTCTCTCGGAAAGCGCTCAAACCAACTGCCCGTAGCATCCTGTTTCATCGAAGGACGACAAGACGCTCAACGATCGACCGCTGGGAGAAGACTTCAAAAGTTGGAGTTAGAGTTGATCGTTTTGAGGGGCGCCATTTCACCGTCCGTAGTACCTTGTCGAGCGTAGAGACCATCGCGCTGTAGCGCTCTTCGATGACCTTGTCGGGCACACCTAGTGTACCCAGCAGGGTTATGAACTGCCGGTTCAGGTAGCACGGGAGTTGGCGCGCGTACTGGATCACCTGCATGGGCGTGTGTGCGTGCGGAAAGGGGATGACATCGCCGCCTCTGGTGCCTCCCGCCCCAAAGTGAGAGCTCGATCAGAAACAACGTGATGTCAACCTTGAATAACTATTTACCGAAATTCGAGCAAAACGTGGGCGAGCCGATCTGCTTTCCTCTATACCCCCCTCAAAAATCAATCGTGAACGGACGTGGAGTGCTCGAGCAAAGCTGTGGCGTACGACATTGCTGCAGGTGTTGTTGTAGAGTCAAGGGCGTTTGTAGATGGAACAACATGTTTGTAAGAATCTCTGCACAGCTCATGCTGTGTAAAGACACAGACGTCAACAGGGCATTTACGCAGTGGTGCTGGCGAGTCCTAGGCCAGAAGCCGTTACGGGGAATGGCCGTGCCTTTTGTCTATGTCGATTTCAAAACAAACTGAACACAAAAAGGGGCAACACTTTGGCCGGCGGTCTCCACGAACAATTTTTAGGACATCACTATATGAGAATACCCTTGCTCTGTTATGAGCAAAGGTCCCTGAAGTGGTGAATAACCGTTCACCAACGGAGGTAATTTCGCTCTTATTGCAGTGTGGCAAGGAATGGCCAAGCGTGGCAGACGTTAGTCAGCCTTGCTAGGGTGAAAGGTGAGAGTGAGCTTCAGGGATCGCTTCTACCCTCCGGCTGGTCACAGCAGACGGAGGGTCTTTTCGTTGTAAAGATCTTCAGACCTCAAGAACGTCGTTCCTGGGGGTCACGGATCTATACGGTTGTGTGTGCGTCCCTACTCCTGGGAAGATACCTATATCCTGGTTTCCACATATATTGTAGAACTGACAGCCACGAGAAAATCCCGTTACTACTATACTGGCTATAGTTGGCCGCGACGAAGAGTTTCTCCTTGGGTCGCGTTGCGTGCCTCTGTTCTTCCACTCTCAACGCAATGCCGTAAATCATTCCCGCATTTTAAAGTTCACTTCTAGAGTGTTCCGCTCTGACGGAAACTTCTGCATGGACGGGCGCACCAGCACCTTGTACCCGCCCCTCCCGGACACGCTTCTCATTACCGAGTCTGGCCAAACAGCCAGCATTCCCTTGCACCCTCCCATCCGGATCTTAACATGCGGTTGCGGCAACCGCGGAACAGCAGTAGGTTGACGAGGTTGTGGTGTTACTCGGCGAACGGAGCAAGGTTTTCCGTGTGGGTAATACTTCGTTGGCACCTATCCACCAGAGACATGGCCGTCCAGAGGTCCTGGTGGATTACTCACACAGCAGTCAAGGGGCTCCAGCGGGAGACTGGATTTGACTTGCATCACCAAGGTTTGGTTGGTTCCTCTGTTCTTTTTGTTGTTGTGGTCGTTACTGTTGTCACGGTTGTGCACGTTGTCTTCTCATCAGCATGATCACCTGGAACGCGCTCGGCGGGGGTTGGCTCACGCTGTGGCCCAAGACGTCCGCGACCTCCCTGACATGTACCATGTCGAATTTGCAACGACAATCAATGGCAGCGGGATGATGAAAGGCGCGGTGGGAGGGCGATCGATCGCATACAACCATGCACAATCCGAGTACGGCTCCAGAATCCTGCAGCAAGTGAAACCACATGCAGCAGCAAACCCGGTGTGCAATATTCACTGCTGAATTTGGAGCGTATGAGTCGTGTATTTCAAGCGAACTGTGTTGTATGTCGAATACCAAAGGGCAGCAGCGCGCCGCTACTGTTATCCGAAAGTTTGCTCTCCTTCTCTGTTTCTCCACGAGACAGAACCCTAACCGTGTGCATTAATACGAGTTCCCCAGGTTCAAATAGATAAACGAAATGACATCAAGCTCGTGGGAAACTGAAAGGACTTTAATTGTGTGTAATCTGGAGTCTTGCTGAGGAGTGGGGGGGGGGTGTACTCATAGTCGTGCATGCCGTTGTCGTTAGATCATTGACCTGGCATCCCTACAAAGCCGGGACGGAGCACGCCGGGTTCTCACCGGACCAGGCTCTCACATCACCAAGCGCGAAGCACCGTGAGGTATTCGACGAGTCGCATGAAGGGTGCGCTGCATCCTGCTAAGGGTGTTCGGCATCTTGTGCTTGCTTGCTTGCGTACAAATGGCAGCTGCGTATGATTTATTTTATTTTCTGGTGCTTACCATGACTTCCAGAGACAGTTGTAAGCACTGTGTAACTGCCTCGAGGGTGCTTGACCAATTTAACACAACGTGGTGCGATTATCCCCTTTGCACGGAGTGAGGGTTCTCGACCCCGCCCAACATTATCTACTCGACCACCACTATGGTTATCGCAAAAAACAAAAAAGGCAACAAAAAAAGCGGGAACCTGGTTGCCGGGCTCACGAAGTGATCGGCTTGTTTTACAACGTCGTTGCCAAGCGACAAAAACCGAACCCCGATGGCAAACACTGGAGGGGGGAAGGAGTGGGGGTGGGGGTGTGTGTACTCATAGTCGTGCATGCCGTAGTCGTTAGATCATTGACCTCGAGTGGGGGGAGAGCTAGTTGACCGTGCTGCTATCCGTAGTGCTTACCTGGCAAGACCTTCCGACATCATCCCACAACCATCGGTGAACTCGTAAGGCCCGGCCTTCTTGTCGGGCACCAGCTTCTTCCTGTGAGGGACGGATGGGCGGTCACGTTGACCAATCGCGTTGCTGCACCATTTAGAAGGCTGACCAAATACGGATGGCCACCAGTCGTATGGGCCCATTAAGCTGCCCTAATTTATGTCATTTCACGATCATTGTTTTGCTAAAACATTCCTAAGCGTAAAGTGCGGAAAAATTGGGTAGCAGGCGTTGTTTGGACCAATAGAGAACAATTCATAATATTTCGTTCGATCAATATTTCTCACAAGGCTGGGGGCACTTCGACGGTGGACGTCGTCGAGCTTAGGCTCTGGCCGAGCCTAGCGGCATGCTTCCCGACGACGTCGATGCCGGACATATCCCCCATCCAGCTGCGGATGCTGTCCGCCGTTGGTGCCCCATCTTGCGACACGGCACGCCGAACCGGTGGACGGGCCGACCAAAGAAAATGAGGGAGGGTTTTGAGGGGTTAAACGTGGTATTTCCATAGTTACAGTTTCATCCAATAGCACGCCTTGAAGTCTTAGTTTGATGCGTTCTTCTGTGGCTGAGGCAACGTGCCATACGTGTTTTTCTTAGACGTTCCCCAGGTTGCTGTGATCATGCTTGAAACCCAGATGCGGGTGATAGTTGGTAGATGTTTCCGGCACCCCCTCCCCCCGTCTCATGATGGGTGTCACATTTCGTGTCTGCTGGTACAACGCGGAGAGCTACAGGTGGAAGCAACACAGCAGGTAGGGATCACGCAAAAAACAACAAAGGCATGGACAAATAATAACCTACACGGAAGGGGACGAAGACCTAACACGTGTTTACGGACGGACGAAGAAACCAGAACATGGGACAGTAGCGTACGATGACTGCAATACACGGGCGACGTAGCAGAAACCCCAAGCGGAAGTTGCCGACAAACGTTATGAGTTGCCAACCGGTAGGGCACGGTCGAGAGGAAAAACTACCCACTGAAATACAGCAGGTTCACTGCCGCTCTCGGAGATCTGATCCACCTCACCTCCTTCAGCGTAGAAGAAGCACGCATGTCCTCGAAGTTGGCTTTTGCGTGGGCGTACCGGGGGAGACAGCACAACGCACGACACCAATAACGCAGGATGCACTTTCAGGAATGTTTGATGTCTCTGGCCAAAGGGTGTGCAGGCCAACCCAATTGACCAGCAGTCGCTGCTAGAGGAGGAAAATAAGTCAAGACCAAAATAATTGGCGCTCTGTTCAGAATAAAATGTGCACGTGTCAGCTATTGTTGAGAAACGAAACGCAGAAAAGTTTCAAACTTGAATAAAACGGGTGAGTGGACAAAACGCATTGACCGCCTCCGCAGTAGCTTAAACACCAGAATCAGCAGTAGATGACGAGCACTAACAGCGACGAAGCAAAGACTTCACCATTCAGCGCAACCAAACCCTGACAAGCGTCGTTCCCATGGCACCTGCCGGAGTAGGCGAGGAACTCGTACTTGCGCCCTGCGATCACCAGCCCGTCCTTCATGAATCCCTCCTACCTACCAAACCAAAGGGAAGGTGGGATGGGGGGAGTAGTCATTCCCATGCAGTTCTCGGGCCATATAACCTCGTTTCCCCGTTGAGCCGGCATAACGCGCACCGGATTGAGGTTACCGTCCAACTTGGTGGGGAAGGGGTTTTGAGCCCTCCATCATGATCCGCGTATATTGCCGAGGCTCGGAGGTCTCAGTTAACATGATCTTAAGCCCCATCTACGCCCTTTAGTATTTCCCGGTCACACGTATCGCAAGCAGCCCCAACTCCAGTAGATCTTTCTCTTCAAGCAACTCTCACCTTAGACAGCCAAGTAGCAGGCTGGAAAGGATTCTTCGATCTTGTTGTTTCTCTTGGTCATGCGACCTTTGACCACCCACGCATATGAACTGAGGTAAACCACCGCGTCCTATTCCAAGAGGAGCCACTTCCAACCTTTGAAGCTTTTAAAACGATAATAACAGGCACCACTGCGATCCACAGGAATTACCTGGGTGCCAGCAAAGGCGAGAGCTGCAACCTGCCCATGTTCTCGTCGACGAAGTTCACCCCAAGGAACCTGACCGCAGAAGGGCCACAACAAAAGGAGGGTTCCGATTTTGTTTCTCCTCCGATGTCTGTAGTTCTGCCCGTTTGGTGACTACGCACGACACGGTTGGCAAGTAGTCTGCACTGACGTTTTTTTTGGTGCGACAGCATGCGCAAAATAAAAACGGAAGCCAACAACGGTAACTAACCTACATGCAGACGGGGGCAGTAAACTGTGCTTGAAGATCTTGGGGGCTAGTGCATCAACCACGGCTACGAGCACGGGGCTGAGTAGGAAATAGCAACCCAGCTAGCTTAGATCTAGGGTTAAGCGTAGGGTTAACCCTCAGCAAGTGGCGACAGAAGCCACACGATAGCAGCCAGGATAGAAACGTCAACCTGTCGGAGTGCTCTGCGAAGCGCCTCGTGACGCCGTTGGACATCTCCTGCTCCGGCGGCTGGCACACGACACGCAACGGCGTCACGCTTGCCCGGGGTACCTGCCGTTCCCACGACGATGATGGGGGACGGAGACCACCATTAGACATTTCAATAGTTGTTGTGGGGGAACTGAAGAGGGTTTCGGAGAGCGATGTTGCAAGAAGCAAGAAACTTTTGTTTTGCCACAAAGCGGCATGTGAAGACAAAAAAAAAAAAGAACACAATGGCACCCATCCCTCCTCCGTATGTATGCTACAATCTTGCCACCATCCATCCGTGACCTAGCCCTAACCCTAAAACCCTAAGCCAGTACAACGTTCTGCCACACGGTCTCGTCAATCCTGGTGAGCGTGGTCCCAGTCTGGTACGGAGATGGAGACAGGTCGAGGGTATCCCATTGCACCCTTCGGCTACGACGCCCGATCAATCGTGAGTTCCGTTCTTCTCTTACCATAACGTTGCCGATTTCCTTGCCGTATTCTCCCACGCCATACACAGCTCCGTTGTAAGGGCCGTATCCCTCGAGCCACTGCAAAATCTCTTGCGAGGGGGTGTCCTCCAGCCGAGCCCTAGGGTCGGTGCTGAGCATCGAGCTGTAGAGGGAGGACTGGGCGGGGAACGCACTCAGTTTGCCTGCCATGAGTCACTCGACCATTTATTGGGCATCCCTTCTCGAGACGGAGTACACCGTGCCTATTTCCCGTAGAGGTACCGCCAACTCTCGAGCGCTCTTTGCGTGTCGTCCATGCTTCACACAGGACCCTAACGCGGGAGGGCGGGAGGCGGGGCTCGAGCTCTCATCCATACATCGTTGTGTGACTCCGGTAGCACACGGGCTATATGCTTAATGATACTCAAGCTTTCCCGTGTGTGCAGATCCCGTGGTTACCTTAGGGCCAGGCAGGCCCTCTCTTCACCCGCCATCGCGAGGAGGGACACCGCCTCTTCGTTCACACCGAAAGCGTCGATCTTGAGGCTGGACGTCAGGCACTGCCGATTTCGCACGAGCATTATGGTGGAAGGTTGATGTTCAGTGTCTTGAGAGAGGGAGAATCAAGATCTCCACAGCAAGAGGAGATCGGCTCAGTCCTTGGACCAACAATGATCGGACGTTGCAGTTGTTGTGCCGCCCCCCCAACGACCAAAATACAGGGGGAAAGCGATTGCACGCCATGCCGACATGCGTGAGTTCTTGCGGTGGGCATGATGCGGACGAAGTGCTCGGGCGGGTCACGGGGGCGATGCAACAACGGGGGCGGGAGTAGCACGCAGGATCGAACAATGGGTGCGACGTTCTTCCTACTACTACACACACGCTTATGCAACAGGATGAGATGGGCGCTGCGCGGATTGGAACACCAAGAGTGGGGTACTTTGAAATCGTACCGGTAAGTGTTTCTTGTCGTCCTGCTTTCGGTTTCGAGGCACACTAGTAACAACATGGGCGTCACACGCCGCCAAAAGTATGTGTACCGAAAGTGGAATATTCCGCACGCCCCACTTCCGTCACTTTTATTGACTCTTTCCCAGTACTTCTATGACACACTAGTAGACCACAAGAAAAAAGTGCCACGGTGTTTTCGAAAACTACTATGTATATGCAGATGACCGTCCTGGCAGACAAACCACAAAATCAGACCCTTAGAAAAGATTAGCAGGGGTCTTGTAAACATCAAAAACCCTTCGAGACACACACAGACAGTGCAAGCAACGCAAGCGACAATGTAGACAGCCTGGAAAGGCAAATGTTTTCGATGCATGAAACATTAACACTAGTCCCGGAACAGCAACGAACCCGTGTGCCTCGAAAGAAAGTGGTAATGCTCACCTCGATGAGGAACTTGACGCTATACGGCAACCTGCTGTACTCCGGCAGGTTGTCCCAGCCGTTCAGCGGTTGCCCTGAGGCGTACGTGTGGACGCGGACGGGAGATAGAAGGTGGTCTTGCCGGGGGCGAGGCTCGGTGCAGAGGCGGAACGCAAAGAGCTCCTGGAATAGCCTTGCTCGCTCGCTCTTGTCCTGAGAGGGAGGGGGCGGGCGGATGGATGGCAAGAAGGGTGGGTACTTTTGTGACTAGTCTCAGCTTTCGTAGCAGCGCTTTTGCCTAATGTCAATACCACCAACACCCACCAACACCACTACTACCAACAACAACAGCGCTCGCACCTCCAACAGGTCGGAGACGTCGATGCGGTAGACAAGGCACCGCCCGAAGGCGACGTTCGGGGACATGTTTCCGACGCGCCCGAGCTTTTCGGGCATCCTCCTGTCAAACCCGCCGTCCAGCTCCCAAACGCTTCCATTGCGAAATATTTCTCCGAGAACGGAAAAGATGGACTCCAGATTGAAGAGAGTCTGGCGGGGGAAAGAGTGACAGACAGGGGGGGGGGGGTTACGCCTACACGGCAATGAGGGGCGGTAGGGGGAGGGACTCCTCCAATAAATTTAATCGCCGTTGTTGATTTGACCTTGCATGATTTTCGCGATGAGAGGAAGAGAAGAGGACGGATGAGGATATTTTTCGGGCAAGGGTTAAAATCGCTTGGACACCGTGGCATCCGAACAGAAAATGTCCTAAGTCCCTGTGCGGGAACGGGTCCCCCCAGTCGTGCAGCAACAGGTCGCTGGGTAGTGCGGTTCTTGGGAGGAATCTGGAGCAGCTTTTTCGCTGGTGTCCGCCTAACCGATCCCATTCCTGCTCGAAACCCTCACACGTTTCTTGGTACCGCGGGCCAACATACATGTGTGCGACTCGCTTCATGTCGCCCTTGGCCAACTTTGCGTGGGTGCTACCATTGAGGAGCTCCTCGATCACTGCAGTGCCTCTCTCATCTTCCTTTAGACTGTTTCTTGTGGCCTTCTCAGCAGCGCCTCCGGCAGCGGACATGTTGGTTAAAAGAAGGGGAGGCCTCTAACCGGAGAATGCCGTGCAAGTCGCAACGAAATTTTCATCGAAAACAAAACAAAAGGACTCCGACTGCAAAGAGGTTTGACACATCACTCGTTGAAGAGACTCCTATCGAGCAAGATACGCGTTGTATGAGGAACTTGTCCTTGACAATGGGGTTCACATCCACGGCTACTACAAACGCCAGGGCCGTCGAGGACACGGCTCTGCCGCCAGACGAAGAAACGGTTGCCCCTCCGAGGACATACTCCAGGGCTCAAATAAACGTCTTCGACATTCGACACGACTAGTGAGGTAAAGTCATTGCCGCCGGAGTTTTCATCCGAGACCCTGTTCCCATCTTCATCCCACCTAGAACACGAACCTGACTTCAACAAACGTGCTCTCAACGAGGTCTCGTGGAGGTCTTGTCGGAAGATGTTTGTTAAGGTCTGGCTCGTTCTCAAGGTGGGATGATGACCGAAACAGGGTCTCGGGTCAAGACTTGGTAACAAATACTTTTCATCACTTGTTCTCGTCAAACATGGCTTGTTTGGTCCTGGAAGTATGTCCTCAGAGGGTAAACCGTTTCTTCGTTGGGCGGCTGCCTTCTACAATAATCCTATTTTCAAAGTACTAAAAGCGTGTTTTCGCAATCCCGTGTAGAATTGGTTGTTGTTCGTAAGCAATCCACACGCAAATTTGAGTTTCAAGACGTACACACTCTAGTCTGTGAAAAAGAGACAAAGTTTGGTGAGTTTTTTCCGCAGGGTGGAAAATTGAGAGAAAGCGTGGCGGCTGTAGGCGGGATATCCGTAATTTGACCAATTTTGGTTTTTCTCTACTATTTGTTTGATACACTTTGTTTGATCACATAACGTGGTAGTAAAAACGATGTTGTTGAGCGACCTCAACCGAGGACGTCTGATAAATGCTGCTGCTGTAGGTAAAATTGTGACCCGGCAGAGCACACGCCCCCCAGCGGAGTGTATCAAATGTTTTTCTCAATACTCTTCGAACCAAATCCTATTGGTTGTAAAATCATATTTGCAAGTACACCTCCGCACACCTGTCACAAAGGGTGTGGAAAAGCGTATTTGATATCGTGCTCACTGCTGTACTAGACTACTGCCGTGGCACATCAACTCTTCAACATATAGACTGTTGACATGCGCCATTAACATATTAGATTTGTTTTAGTGAGCGCCTCTTTTCAGTAGATCTGACATTCGCTGAAAAGAACACACCAAGCAAATCCGGCACAGGCAGTACCATCAGGGAAATATTCTTGACTACACACCATTGATGATGCTCATCACGCAGACCTCATGGTATAACATTGATACCATAGTAAAGCGCAAACCCGATCCACTAACTTACACGTACCGAGGCTGATTCCTTGCGCTCCGGTTCGCCGTTCAGAAACGGAGGGTGCAACAGCCTGAACGCCAGCCACGTCCTGCCCCCATCGTTCGTCAGCTCAACCTTATTATCATTTACAGGAGACGGACACAAACGTGACGGCGACACATGAACTCCTGTATAAAACAAGCTTCCGAGCCTGATTTCACACGGACACCGGAATACTCCCGGTAGCACCACCGAGAGGCAGCAGCTACAGGCGATTACAACGTAATCATGTTACGGATTTCATATTTTCAAACCTCTCCGTCAACGTGGCGCCTCTTGAAGTTCACTTGGCCATGCCGTCCGCGGTCATCCTCGAACATCAGCGAGGCCAGGGATCCTCTTTTTTGACTCCGGCTGGTTCGACAAATCTAACGTTAGAGAGTAAGATACAACGGTTGTCACATTGGGTTTTCAAGTGAGTGTCAGCAAACAAACACAACGTAGAATTGATTCGAAGCAATGTGGGCTCGAAGACAACCGTGGTGGAAATGAGGAGAAGGACCCGGCAGTGCGTGAAAAAGGGCTGCTGTGGTAGATTGAAAACGGGTGACACCACGGGAGATACAAGAGGAGCTTGTGACCATCGTTGTTGGTTTGGGCTTGTGACCATGTGTTCGGGACAGAACGCTCTTAGCAAACGACATTGTTTGTGTAGTGCCGGTCGTCCAGGCTGACATTGCTCCGGAAGCACGACCGGACGGTAACAGACATCACCAAAGAGGCACACCAACTTGATCACCGCTTGTGAACACGTGTCGTCCATTCTTGCGGTGCGCTACCCACACGTTTGATGTGCTCCTTCAAGCCCCCGTCCAAACCCAAGCGGTGGCTAGTGACACGTCTATACTGGCAGACACTCGATTGGTCGTGAAGCATGATAGCGGCCCACAGATAGAGAATCAGCACATGAATTGCCTTCTTGTGGTGTTTCTCCGCCCCTACGCAGACCGACAAAACACTTTTCACCTGAAATGTCACACCCGACTTGACCACCCACAGGCACGTCAGGTCGCCGGGAGGCCACTGCACACACAGCTGCAACCCCCCGCAACTGAAGCCGGGCGCGGTGCCCATGGGTCTCCGGAACCGAGCCTTGGACGGCCTTATCCTGAGGGTCCTTCCACCAAACACAAGGTCTTTGTAGCTCTGTAGGACGTCGGCAATCTCACGCGAGCGCAGCACCACGAACGCGAACGTTGCCTTGGTATTCCGCTTCACTTCGCACCGCAAGATGGACGTTGTGGCGAGCGCTGGGCTGGGGGAGGAAAGTCGCAACACGCTGCCTTGGAGGAATTTGGCCAGGTCTGGCGCCAGGGTACCGTGGGGAACGTTGCCGACATATACTTCCACCTGCTTCTTCGCCGCCTGGTGTTGATGGCCGAATGGGGATGTAGTAGTCGCCAACAAGTAAGGTCCGAGTGGTTGAGAGTTCCATAACTTGGCTGAGGCCTGGTTTCACACAAAGCTGTTGCTATCAGAAGCAGTCTCCACCATATATACGCAATAGCGTTTGACCACAGCCGTTGTTCAAAGATCACTTGGAATGAACCAAACGGACATGTGCCCTCCAGGGGAGAATCCACGCCCTCTTTGCGAAAAATACCAGAGGCGTGGTCAACAACCAGGGTCACCCGACCAGATCTATCTGACTCTCCAAGCGCATCATTTGTCAGTTTCCGTTGACACCGCCTACCGATGCGGGCCTCAATGCCGTACATTTAATGGGTTTATCGCCGTTACAACTCCAATCTCCCCCCCTGCTTGGTGTGACGGATCTTGGGCTGGGAAAACCCCGTTTATCTCTCACCCAACACTCGAGGTAAATAGCGTTTCGAACTGTTTGTTGGGGAACATGCGGAATTTCGAAGGAGATGCTGGCGAAAACGAAAGACGCTCTCAAGCTCCTGAACGACCTCACATCCGACGGAAATGTCGGCGACGACTACTATCAAGCTCCTGACTTCGCTGCATCGATGAACCGGAACCTCGTCGACTTTAGGCCATTCTTCAAAGCGAAGGAAAACACTGGTGGTTGATCACGACAGGGTACAAGATTCGGCAGGCTCACGACGAAGCCTTTTGCGATTTGAGGGCCTGCCAGCTACCATACCCGGTCGAGGTAGAGTACGGAAAGGCCAAGAGAGCCGCCAAGGACGTATTGTACTCATGCAACGGCATTGAAAACAAGTACACGGGGTGGGGCAAGCACACTCAGGAGCGGATCGACGATGCGTGGGCCACACTCGAGGCAGACACCATAGTTATCGGGACGCCTCCACCGGCAAGATGCGGCGGTTGTCGGGCGATTCACGTACAGCTTTTTGTTGCGAAGGAGGAAGAGAACTGAAGCGCCCGTGGTTGAACGCGCGGACAAGAAGGTGTGGTGTTAAATAGTTAAATCCTCAAGGTTTGGAGGCTTCTGTCGGAAGGATCCTCACAACACCATGCCTAACAAGAGAAGACACTCTGAGGAGCACAAGGCGACGATCTGATTTTCGCCCAAACAATGATGCTTTTGTAGTGTCCATCTGGTGGTCCATACCGAGGACGGTCAGACGCTCGTCCATGGAGTCGTGTAGGCACTCAGGGATGAACGTTTCTGTCACTGTAATGCCTGAATGATCCAACGCGTTCAGGGGGTTCTGCATGATCAGCGGCGTGGCCATTGTTCAAGTATTGCTTTACTTCGTCGCAACATTTTATTTCGGCGCACCGAACACTGTTGGTTGGCCTGTGGGGTTCAGAAAAATGGTAATGTCAAGTTTTTCAATAAGAAATATTATATATTGTTAAGGTAAATGAAAGTAAAAGTGACATCGATTTCGGAACGATCCAGCCACACGCAAGCCATGTTTGCACGAGGCAAAACCAAGCCGTGTTCGATTTAAAAAAAAACAATACTGACCAGTCTCTCGAAAAATGTCGATTTTTTGTAGGACATGAAACACCCGAATGTGTGCTGGAAACCCGGTTGTTATAGGTACAAAACATGAAAATTATGTAAGGTAAAAACACGGAAATTGTGTCAGAAAAGGCTTCTGCAAAAAAACATGTCTGCCCCTGATATCACCCGATGTCCCCTATTACACGAAACTCCTGGCAAACCATTCATCCAAAGTTGCCTCTCCGGCCATATTTTGCTATTGAACAGGGTTAGAACATTCATCAAGTGTAAGCATGTGGGCATACTCACAGTGGCTGAGACATTCTCCCAATGGGAAATACTACGTTGGCAGGAAAGAGCACGGCGTATGGCCTCGGTGGGAAAGAGAACTTGGTCTGAAAAAACATATACTTGCGATGATGAATGCAGATTTTGTCCCAACTGGCGATCAGCGAATCCAATGTATGTTTTACAGCGGGGTATCAGATGAAGGTGGACCTATCATAGTGGAGCGTGATGAGGATCCAGAAATAAATTCTAAAAAAAAGTGTATTATCATGGAGTGACTAAAATTCGCCAAAAAAACTACTCTTTCCCATTGGCAGATGGAAATACGCCTTGAATGGTCCTTTCTTCATAAAACAGAGCCAGAGTGGTTCTTTCTTTGCCCTTTCATACCCCACCACTATCTCATAGTTTCGGGAAACCCTCCCGCTCATCCTTACTTACGGCTTCAAAACGGTACTAATGTATGTATGTAGTGTAGTCGGTACATAAACCACCGCAAAACTACCCTTACTTACCCCTCACTTACCGCGTACAAGTCCCGTTGTATAAAGCGATACAAGACTCACAGCTCAAGAGACGTGCACCGTAGACAAATTCTGCTGTAATGTAGTGCAGGGCATCTTTGAGAGGCTGGGTCGCAAGTCTGAAGAAGAGTGAGTTTAGGTCGCAATCTAGGATATTTCACATCATCAGCCGTATAAGAAGTGTGGCCCAAAATATTTTACACGTGCTCTATACTGCATGTATTTCCTGCCTCCCTCTGATGCGCCGACTAACGCATCTATAGTTTCTGATGGCTAGTTGCTGTCGCCTATGTACAATACAACGATAATCCCTCTTGGCGATGACTCCTACTCTGTGCAATAACCGAAGGCTAATTCTCTGGCAAAAAAAAAAATGGCGAACGCGTGCAGATCTCCTCTGAGAAGACGGAGAAACGTTCCGTGGTTTTGGGGAATGTGCCGCAACCATCCAGAAAAAATATATCTTAAATCTCTTGCTGTTGCACGCTGCTCCTCAGCTGTGGCAGTTCCTTCCCGCCCTTGCTCTGCTCTCTGCAGTTTCTAGTCTCTCGGGTGCACAGCGACGAACGGCAAAGACTCCCTGCTGCACAAGGTGAGGCAGAGAAGAAGCGGCGACGACGTGGTTTGACCACGGACGGTGACGTTTTCGGGGCAGCACAGAGCTCACGACCCCATTTTACTTGCACCACCACGTGTACAGATAGACTAATATTTTCTCTGTGTTTTGGCGCAAGCACTCACCCTCTCACATAAGAGAGAGAGAGAAAGGAGCAGAAAGATGAGAGAGGTTTGATTGAGCTCAAATGCAGCAGGCGTTGCGTGATTGCACATGCACATTCGCTCGCGCCCTATGTATACATACATGCTGTGGCAGAGAGGTGATATTCTTTTCTGTTCTGCCGAAGATCCCAAAACATGTTTTTACGGAGCCTACCCCGAGGCAGACACCGCGTGCAGCATTCTCTGTAGGGTGCTGCATTGCCCAGAACTGGATGCCTGCTCTGTACTGCTCTTTGCTGCTCTTTGGCCTCAAGCTAACGTTTGTTTGTAGTCCGTGTGTGCGCAAAGGAGGGCGGGGGCTGGCTGTTTTTTGACAAGAGAAAAAAAAAGTGCGGAGCTACAAGCAAAAGCTGACCGCTGCCACACACCAAACACATCAACAAAAAGTCGCGTTGCGTACACAGCAGAAGTGGGTTCCCACCGTATGTTTCCTCGACAACAAGTTACTGGAGCGTGTGTAAATACATGTTGGGTGCGCGTTTGATAAAAGAGGGAGGGGAAAGAGAGAGTGCGGATCCGCAAGTGTGCGGGTCGTGCGGGGGGGACTCGATTCGCGGACATGCGCAACATCCCGAAGCATTTTAAACAGCAGTAGACTATTTAGTGAGGGCATCTCGAGTTGGATTCCTCCACGCGCAGCCCTTCCTGTTCACCGAGAACGAACGTTTTGTACCATTTTTTGCCTCTGTGTGGCTGTGTAGCAACTGCGGCGCCGGTGTGACCTCAAAAAGTTTAAGTTCTGACGTTGGTGTGGTGTTATCGGTTGGGCAGCAACAACGGGGCAACTTTTGAAAGGAGAGAGCACCACCATCCCCCGTCTTTCCTTCCGAGTTGTGTAGACGGGTTTAGAGGTAGAGGGGAGTGTGAGCGGGAGAGTGTTGCCAATCCAATTCTCTCAACGCTGGCGACCAAATCCCGCATGTTGACAGCTTAGTGAATCCCCCCCCCCAAGGGAGAGAACGAACGTGTGTTCATGCGGCAACTTGCTCTCTCTTTCACGATGGTGTCGGTGCAATGTACCGAACATGTAGTCTAAAGGTAAAGAATATAATCTTTAGTTTGCGCGGCCGGGCCCGCCGAGCATAGACTATCCCGCTAGCACCCGCTAGATATAGGCGTCCGCATGGGATTTTGACTGTTGAGTTGCACAGGCTCAAATGCCATGATGTGAAGGTGCAGCTACGGGGTGCAGGAAGCCTGTTGTCACCCACCCGCCCTACAACAAACGGCCTTCCCCACACGCACAAAAACGCACTTGTTTCATCGCTCACCCGCCCACGATCTACAATAATAGAACAAAACTTCGTGAAATTTCTTCATTTTGAAGATGCAAACACGCACGGCGCCGAGGGAGTGGGGATCGCAATTGCACCAATGCATTTGTAGAGACACACACGTAGGACTGTATTCTTAAAATTCAAATTATACAGTAGGATGCCACCTTTGAATTTCCCGATAGAGCGACATCATCGTACGTATGATGTGAGCCAGTCAGGAGCCACATCCTGAACGGGCGGGTATGTAAATTGTAACAGATAAGAGGCAGCACCGGTTCCGTGGATATCTCGGAACACCATGTGTATGTTTTTTTGCAACAACACTCCTTCTTCTCTCTCTCTGTCTCTCTCTCTCTCACGTACACAACCCTTTTCCCTCGTATGTTGCCCTTCTCTCTCCGACAAGTGAGAGCTCCTCGGCGCATACAAACTCCACACACCGCCCACACAGCGACTGAAGAAAAATAATATCACAGCGTAATTTTATCGTGTTGCAACGCTCTTTGGAGGAAGAATATCGCGAAACACTTGCTCATTATTCTCAATCTCCGCCTTGTTCCGCTGCAGCACACTGCATGCTGCTCGAAGTACGAGTTGATCTGACTTGGTTTTGGGACAGAGGCCCTTTAAGGGTTGGGTTATTAAGACGAGCGTTGTTATGCCTTGACACCGGAGCATTCGCGTGAACCTTACGTCCTATGTACGAGCAGTCACTCCTTTTTCAAACTTTTTTCTACATCCAGCAAACGGTTAATGTACTTTTATTGTCGATGCCGGCGAATTCTTTGCGCTCAAACGTCAGTCTTTACACATGCATTCAGGTCTACATCATGCCAAAGTTGAAATTCCTCCTGGGCACCAATGAGTGATGTTGCGCATAATGTCCGACCTTCTGGCCGAGGTTCGTTTCGTTAACCATTCTCCACACCCTTCTGCCGCGCAATGCTACTGCTGTACCGCTGCTCAATCGATTCCCCCGCACCAGAGGCCAGACGATAGACCTCACGAGAGCGCAGGCATCATTCTTCGCCCGGGGTACCAGCTGGCAAAAAACATAAATACCCGCACACAGCAGCAGCGGGTGTTTTTGTTCGCGTGGCAAACGAGAAGAGGCGGGACGGAAAGCGCAAAAGAATAGAAAGCATCCCCAAGCGAAGGGAAGAGAGAGAGAGAGAGAGCCTAGCCGGAGGGTTTCCGTAGTGCGTATCACGGCGAGGAGTAATGGAGGCCCTGTCCGAAGTGCTGAGCTCGAACGGCTCGAAGAAATGGCACCTGCCCACCCAGGAACCGACCTTCGCGATCGGTTTGTCGTTTGTCTTCCTGGCCTACTTCCTGCACCCTCGGATAGAGGCCACGTACCAGAAGGTGCGAGCTGCCCGTGCTTGGCGGGCCGTTGAGAAGCACAAGAGGGTGGACGTAACCACCTACCCCATGGTGTCGGAGGTGTTCCGGGGGCGCGGGAAGTGGGACGCCGCGCGCGCCGTCACCCTCCTGCTCGCGGCGTTCTCGCTGGGCTCTTGGGTCCTGGAGCTGTCGCTGGAGATTGATCACGTCGAGGGGGGGGCTCGCCTTCTTAACCTGCCGGTACCTATTTATTTGGTGAACCAGACCAGCTTGGCTTGGCAGGTGAGGGTTGTTGCATGGCGTGCATGTGAGGCTTGTTTTTCTTTCTCGTTGGTTACGTTTTCATCGTCCTTTTGGCCAAGCAAGCTATTGTCGTGTGCGGAAGTGTGCCAAGATGACCTCGCAAAGGCGGTCCCCAACGCAAGGTGTTGCAATTCTGTTGACATGAAAATCGACAACGCCGGGTGCCGACTCATGCGAACACGACGACGGCACTGGCAAAAACAAAAGGTCACCAAGGTCGCGACATGTCGCGAGGAACACTTTGCAAGGCGCCGAAGAGACAATTTCTTCATTTTTTGCACCAGGCCACTGTACCGGCACGAGAGTTTAAGTCACCACTGCTGTTGTTGGTCTTTGACGCGCAGGTGATGCCCCTGGAAGAAATAAACCCGGAGTACGGTAGGGCCTGGCGGGACCTGGACAACATGGAGGAGAAACAAGCGAAGTCGACGTACTTCGTGACCGGCTACAGAGAGCACGCCTGGAGCAAGAAGATTGAAACCCACGTCGACGGCGAGATCGTTGTTGCGAGCTGGGATCCAGACGACAAGCACAGGGCGGGCTTGTACTACGGCAGCAACCACACGGCCACGGTGGACAGCATCACTTGCAAGGGGACGGGGGGGGACGTATACCTATACGACGAAGCGGCATGGGGCAGTTTTCTCTGGTGCGGGGAAGGGCCTTTGGCGGAAAACAAGACTTCAAGCCAGCCCGTCATCATTCTCGAAAAATCCGAGGGAGAAGTGAGCGTCATCGTCGAGGAGGTGGGCACCCACCCCAGTTTTCTCTATTCCGTCTGGACGGCCGGGAGCGCGGACTCGAAAGAACTCGCGTACTCGTTCCACATCTCGTCCACGGTGCGCCTGGCCGAGGCCGTGGTGACCGGGATCGTCAACGGCGAGACCGGCGGTGGCCCCTGCTTCGGCTTGCTTCGGACGTTCAACGCAGGCCGGGATATGGAGGAGGGGATAAGCACGGGCGAGGAAGAACGTGAGAGGGCAAAGCCGTTCGGCGAGAAGCCGGAAGACGACAAGGTGGACTCCCTTCAGGACGTGGAGACCATCGAGGTCGGGGTCCTGATGAACACCAACGCTCTCGTGGCGTTCGTGTGCCTGCTGGTGCTGAGCCTCGTCGGCATCGGCTGGTCGATGTGCCTCGAGTCCAGCGTTGAGATGGATGTGTACGACAGGTAAGGGGCCGAACCGCAGCGATTGGCGGCCGCTGTTAAATCACCGTGCTTGTTGCCGGGAAGACCGTCCAAAGGGTGCCTAGCGTTGCGTTGTGGCCGCAGCTAACCGCGTAAGGGGTACCATGAGTTGTTCGTTTTTAGGCTTCTCCCCTCCCCACCGCGCACAACTCTAACGAAACACGCGTAATTGTACCCCCACATCGTTGAGTGCCCCCGCATCACGTGTGCTTCGCACAGGGACGAGCTACTCCGCGCAATCTCGCAACAAGCACAGGGCGAGGACAACGACCCCTCGACGCGCTCCGATATGCGCATCTACGTCCAGAAGGAACGCGGCGGCGAGTTGAACGTCGTCATCAGCGCGTCCGACGACGACCAAAACGGCTGCGCGCGATTCCTCCTCAGGTGCGTATTCTAAACAGCCTTCGCAGATGTTTTTTGCTTCGCAAACTTATTGGATAAAGAATGGAATCGGCGGAGTTTGGGGTTGGGGATTGGTTTAGGGTCTACGTGCCCCCCCCCCCCTGCCTGGTCTTCTTTATTAAAAAAACATTCTTCGCTTCGGCAGTCCCCTCAAGGGGCGTGTGTATCGATGTTCCAAACAGCGGCTGCGTCACTATCCCTAAACCAGTTTCTCTTGCTGCTGGCTTGCCAACCAGAAACGCCAGCAACCGCTCCGAAGCCGCGTGCGCCTTAACAGTACAGAGGAGCTCCTCCTCCATAAACTCCTACCAATCGCGGCACGACATTCAGACACCATTTTTGCTCAAACCAACGCGCCTCCACTGCTGTTATTGCAGCATAATAGTAGTCTCTCGCCTCTTCTCTCTGCTTCTTGTTTCGAAACTGCCAATTTTATTGTTGCGTGTTCTCTCTGCTCGTTTATCCGAAACCACCGATTGAATCGCGTGCGTCGTTCATGGTCCGTCCCTCCCTCCGTCCCTCCGTCCCTCCGTCCCTCCGTCCCTCCGTCCGCCCAGGCGGGAGCCCACGCCCACCGTGCATCCGATTCCCGTGGCCGACGCCGTGAGTCACGCCCTGGACGACCACGGGGGCGCGCCCCTGCCCCTGGGCCGCCCCCGCATGTTCATCGGCAGCGTCCGCTTCGGCATGGGCAGGGCCTACCCCGGACGGAACAACAACTTCCGCTACCCCGTCGCCCTGAGCGCGTCCCCGGTGCCCTCGGCCTCGACCACGCCGGTCCCCTCGCACGCTGGATCGCTGGTGGGGACACCGGCCCCCCGCGGCCGTGCGAGGCGGGGGGGGCTGCCGGTCCTGATCGCCGCTTCCCCGATCCCTTCCCGCGCCACACCCTCGCGGGGCACCCCGGCCCGTTCGAGGCCCGGGTCGGCGTCGGGAACACCGGCGGCGGCGGCGGCGCTTCCGCCGCTCGGCTCTTCCGGCTTCCTACCGTCCTTCGGAACGGGAGGGGGAACGGGGCGGCGGCGGGGGGCAGGGGTAGGCAACGTCGGAGGGGTGCCGCCCCGAGGCCCGTCGCTCCTGTTCGACGACAGCGTCAACACGTTCGGCGGTGGCGACGACGACGGCAGCAGCAGCGGCGGCGGCGGCGAAACCGACGGTGACGACAGCGCCGACATCGAGACGGGAAGTGGCGGCGGCGCACCGACAGCGCGCACTCAAGTATCCGCCTTCGGAGGGGACGACAGCGCCGACATCGAGGCGGGAAGCGGCGGTAGCGCGCCAGCGCGCCCTCAAGTACCCGCCTTCGGAGGGGGCGGCGGCGGCGACGTCGAGATGGGAAGCCTGGAGCTGGTGCACCCCCAGGCGCAGGCGCGAGCTTCCTCCGCTGGTGACCGGGGCGGGAGTTCAAGCTCCCTGGGGGGCGGGAGTTCCAGCCGCCGTGCTGCGCGAGTCGATCCCGCCGGATGCCGACGGAGCAAGAGCGACGAGACCGTCGTGGGGGGGGGCCCGGTGGTAGGCGACGCTCTCCACTTCCCTTCCGATATGACGACGCCCCCGGAGAGCCCCGACTCGTTGTCGTCTCCACTGCCGTCCCGAGGGCTGACGACGGTGTTGACGCTCGGCCCTCCGCAGCTGAAGCAACTTACCCGCGACGCGTCGGATTGAGGACGCGGCGCAAAGGGGGGCGAAAAGTCACCTCCGAACATAAGGCGCGGCGCAAAGGGGGCGAAAAATTCACCTCCGAATTTAAGGCGCGGAGCAGTAAGAGAGGGAGTGATTCGCCGCCGACGGCATTCTGCCAGGCACGCCGAAGCAGCGCAACGGGGGCGAAAGAGTCACCTCCGAACAAGGCACGGCGCAAAAAAGGGAGGGAGGGAGTGATTCGCCGCCGACGTCGTTCTTTCAGGCATGCCGTCGGAGTTGGGGTTGTAAGGGAATTTTTTACATCGGGTGCATTTGCTGAGAGCGGGTTGGCTTGCGATGATAATCCCGCTGGGTTTTAAGCTTGCGCTCGATCAGTTTTAGCGAATTTTATCGTATCGCTTCGGGATATTGTAGGGTAAAGCCTCGGTGTGTTATTAAAGTAGGTAGTGGTTGATTTTTGGTATTTTCGTCGTGTAGTTTTGTAAGTAGTGCGTCGTCCGGGTGCAGCATAGACGCCGTTGGTTCCCGCAGGAGGGGGGTAGAATCTTCGATTTTTTGCGATTATTGTCTCAATTGTAGTAGAACAGGTTGGTTGAGCGTGGTCGTTAGACACGAGCGATGGGTCATTAGAAGGTGTACGAAAGGTCATCATGCGTGTGCCGGAGCTATCATAAAGTTGGAGATTAGTGAAGGGGATATACCTGTAGTCTAAGGCCCCAAGTTTATTCTTTATTTTATTGCATCAGCTTGCGCCAGCTGCATCAGCTTTGCATCAGCCAAACCAAACGTGCGCGCGATTTAAGGTGTTTTGCCCCCATGCGCGTACAAGCCGCGAGTAGAAGAAGGTACGGTAGAAACCACCTAGAGAGAGAGGGAAAAGGTGCCCGCAGTTTTCTAATTGGTCAATTTTTTTGGGATAGAGGTTGGGTTTGTTTTGATTTTTGTCGTCCATCGCGGAACCCCAAGCGTTTAGTTTTTCTTTATATATTTTCGGGGCGTCGAAAATTTGAAGAGCCCAAAAGGCCTTGGCTAGCTAACATTCTGAGTATGTATTTTTTATTCAGCTGGTAGGATATATGTTGATGGTATCGCTCACCGAGCTCGTGTTTTTTAAGGGGGGTCAGCGTGTTGATATACGTATATGCGCCTTAGGGAAGCTGGTCCCCAGCGATGCAACGCCTTCCGTTGCATTCTTCGGAATTGTTGTAGTACTTGCCTGGGTTTTGGTTTCGAGCTTTTGCAGTAGAAAAAGTAGCAGTAAGCACAGCAGCGCTTATTTTCTCGTTGGCAGACGCTCCCTTCAGCAGGGGTCGCGGTAGCAACTACTTGATCAGAATCTTGTATTGTTCCCTGGATTTGTTTTTGCATTCGGAGTGCAGTCACATAGAGTTTCCAGACGAGAGTAGCAAACCTCCGTGGCTGGTTGTAAGTAAGTTATCGCGAATGCCTTCCAGCAGTAATTTATCGCGAGAGACAGCTTCGAGAATAATTGAAGCTTGAGGAATAGAGGAGGAGGAGGAGGGAGAGGGAGAGAAGAGGCGGTCCGTGCTGATCTAAAGTTTGGCTGTTAGTACCAAGACCAGGTGCGCCGCTTTAACTCGTGTGAGAGAAAATTACGGGCCGCGTTTTGACGCTGCATCGGATCGGGTTTTGAGGCGGCAAGCGAAAAGCAGAACCGAAACCTTAATTAAAAATAAAGAGTCCAAGGGTAAGAGCAGACAAGTCTCCGGGAGTGTGTTGTAGTTCGGCAGCGACGGTTGCAGAGTATTTTTGTCCGCTGTGCTAATTTTTAAAAGTGAATACAAGCCGTACATCAGGCGGGAACGTGGTGGGTGTAAAGGTCACGCATGCAGGAGTGTGTATGTGTTCGTTGTAGCCTCAAACAGAAGGGGCCCCATTTATTGGTGATAATTTCCCCATAATGTTGATTCTACAAGTATTCCCAATAATAAAACCCATTCATGGATGGCACGGGGAAAGGAAAATAAAACGTGCTCCGAGCTACCGATCCACCTCCCCGTCCTTCTAAGTGCGGCAAAGGTCAAATACACCGGCAGGAAGCGGAGACTTCTGTATTGTACATAGTTATTTGACTAGTCTATACCGCCAAAAAACGACCGATATTACACCATTTTGAATACCAACCAACGCGTGCGTGCATCAGTTGTGTGCTATACGGTAAGCGGAACACGAGGCAGGGTGTCCCTTTTTCAGAAACGTCGTGCTCCACCAGACTCAGCGATTTATGATAGGGTACGTCACCTACTGTGTAGTGTCGCCCAAATATTTCTCCGTTACCCCACCTAGCTCTCAACGACATCTAGATACAGCCTTCGATACCCAGAACGAGACCACGATGCTTGATTGCCTGAGCAACACTACTCCAGCGCGGAAAAAACGAGAAAGCTGCAATGCGCCCCTGACCAAAACCCCCGTGTGTGTGTGATGTGGACTCTAGAAAAAGAATAGTGATGTGTACATAGCTCAGCCTTGGTCTGCTGGCCGCTCGGCGTTGGAACGTTTCTCGCCGCCTTCCAAAGAGCCGTGTACTAGGGAAGCAAACGAGAAGCTGCGTCAGAAACGACTCGGCGTTGCTATAACCGACGCAAATCAAGGACCGGTTTGGATGATGCACGGGGCTGCTTGGTCGTCCACCCCGCAGAAGAGTCCAGATTGGAGAATGCCATTCGTGCAACGTTCGTACAGCGTTCGTGCCACTCGTGCCCATGCAACACAACCACCAAGCACTAACCGGAGCATCTCCACAAGGGCTGTGCTAGATCGAGCCGGCTCGGACCCAAGGCATGGTTGTACCAGCAGCCGTGCGTGCGTAGATAGACATGATCTTCCCTTTCTCCAATGTCGCGGCGAATCGTTCACCAGTAGCTGTGCGCGTGTAGCTCGGGCGCAGAGTATAGTATGTAGATGTTTTGAAGCTTCTCCCGGGAACGCTGATTGAAAAATATAAATTTAAATTTACTTCGTAAACAGCTAGATAAACCCAAGCTTCGGCGCGCCCTAGCACGGCTTCCACCCCGACCCCTGGTCAGGTGAGCGTACGAAGTTTTCCGCGTGCTCGAATGTAGCCGATGGTTGACGCGTACACAGTACAACACCTAGGATCCATATCACGCAGCAAACAAAAGAGGTTCCATCGCTTCTCTGCTGTTTTTGATGCCCGAGTCAGCTCATGCCTCTCGTCCGGTCGACGATACCGGTCAACATCAGGGAGGGCTACAGCTCGTACCACGGTCAGTACAGCTACGAGACAGTGATCCCCAAAGCCATTCCCGACGTCATCCCGGAAAACATGACACTCGCGTACTTTCGAACGAGTCACGCCAAGGAGGTGTCAGTAGTTGGATGGAGACAGTTCGCCAAGAGAAGAGCGCTCAACAAGAGAAGCGTAAACGAGCCGCCGCGGAACAGAGGAACACGCGCCAGAAAAAACAGAAGGTCGAGAACGAGCAACGGAGGACATCGATTGAGGGTATCGCCAGCGATTTGTGTCTCAAGTGGATGCGCACGGTGCCGAAGAGCACCAAGAAGTACGTGTCGAAACTGTCTGCGGAGGACAGCGTGGCCGCGGCGGCCCTCGTCGGAAGGAACGCATATCTCTCTGACGAAATTCACCAGATCCTCCTTTCACCGAGACGTTTTTCGCTACGCATGGAAGAGTTGGAGCGTTCGTGCGCTTTGATTCAGAAAGTAGGGGAGGAAGCGATAACTCTACTCCGCCACCACCGCTGTATTCGCGCCGTCCGCGCGGAGCTCATCGCACGCGAAAAAGAACAGCAGATGAAGGAGGCGAGAGCGATGGTTCGAGAGGACAAGTACGTTCTAAAACAGCCCGGTGAAACGGGGAGGATATGCCAGTGTGGTCAGACGACCGCGCACGGTTGCGTTTTTAACATGTGTGCCAGCTGTTGCCCGATGGTGACTTGTGAACGGCACTGGCGGGGACGATACGTTGGATAAATATACTAGGGGTAGGGACCTACTCTTGGGAGAAGCATGATACGCGTAAAATAATATTTGCACCAAACTTTCGAAGCTGAAACACCGCACACCCTAACCACAAACTGCGGCAAAGATGCTGGCCTGGCTCATCGGCTGCAACACACACGGTGTTTCGAAGGAAATGCTGGCGAAAACGAAAGATGCTCTGGCGCTGCTGAATGATCTCACTTCCGACGGACACGTCGGCGACGACTATTACCAAGCGCCGGACTTCGCTGCCTCCATGAACAGGAACCTCGTGGACATCAGGCCCTTCTTCCAAGCGAAGGAACACATTTGGTTGATCACGACAGGGTACAAAATTCGGCAGGCTCATGAAGAAGCTTTCTGTGACCTCAGGGCGTGCCAACTTCCATTACCGGTCGAGGTCGAGTACGGCAAGGCCAAGCGGGCGGCGAAGGATGTAAAATACACATGCAATGGCATCAAGCACAAGTACACAGGGTGGGGGGAGCACACACAGGAGCGGATCGACGAGGCGTGGGCCACGCTCGAGGAGGACACCGTAGATATTGAGCCGCTCCCCCCGGCTACATGCGGTTGCAGGGCGATTCGCGCGCAGCTTTCATCACCGGCTGTTGTTAATGGATAATACCAGCAGTGTGTGCGTTTGCTTTTGAGTCAGATTAGTAAGATGGATTCTCTGCAGACACTGGCCTGCCATTCTTTTTTGGCACACTTAAGCGTTGGTTCGGAAATACCTCACGACATCCCGGGCACTGTACGCCCGTGGGTGAATGCGTGGGCCAAATGCGTGCGGTTGGACAAGAATGCAGACGTTTTGCAGATGGTACACGAATGCATCGAGCGCGGGTCGTCGAGCAAATTTTGTGTGAGCCGCGCTTTCGCGGGAAAGGTGTGTGTTCTTGCCGACACACTGGACATCCGCCATGCCACGAGTCGCTGCCAAGGGGGCAAATCGTCACAGTTCAACGACATCACGATCAGCATGGTTAAGGGATGGACGTGGCGAGTTAAAATCTTTGCGGCCATTCAGCACAGGATTCGCGAAGAAGAGCAAAAGGAAGCCGAGTTTCAGCGCCGCTACCTCCCGGTTAAAAACGAGGTGGTCGAAACGCTGGGTGATATTCGCCGCTGCGAGGACTGGGAAGACAGCCTAGAGTACATTCTGTGGGGAGAAATGAGGTCTTCGATTGAGTTTCTACCGAGGGGGATGCGGAAGAAGTGTGTTGCGCGGCTGGTAGATGATGGTATTCTTGATGATAAATTTGAACTTTAAAAAGAGGTCACGCTACTTTGGCGCGCTTCGGCAGCCCAAAAAACTCCGTAATTTTACGGCTTGTGGTGCCACTGCGCTTCTCGGGGCCTTCGCGTGCAGTGGTATCAATAGCACCCGGCTGTACCCACTTTTGGTACTGGCGGTACATACGCGCGACATCGGCAACCCTTCGCTTTCGCAGCGTCCAACGGGTGTAGGGGAGGGACTTTTGTAGTAAACGTCTCAAGACAGGCGAAGCACACACACGTGATATGAAAAAAGCTTTCAGTTCCACCAACACCGCTTCGTCAACCAGTACCAACGGGTTCAGCAACAAGCACTCGGCGGAAACAAGCTTAAAATCGAGTACGAGGCTACTGACCCATGTGGACCATTCGTGTGCCACCAACGCCTTGAAACAGCGTACATCCTTCCATTTCGAAACTGATCTCAGATGTTCAGCGGC